CTTGTCTTATCCGTCTCGCTCTTCACGGCGCTCGACTTCCTGTCGCTTGTCTTCCTCCGTGTCGTTGGAGCTGAACATCACTGTCAGTCGCTTGAGCGACCCTGCGGTGAGTGTTCGTTTAACAACATTTGCTTGATTTTGTCTGTATTTTTTATTGGGTTTCCATTGTTGTTTGTTGTTCTGCAACTTATCTTTGATTGGGTTTGTAATGAAGGTGTTTTTCACGGTTTAGGGTTAATTGAGTTGTGATGTTATATTAATGTCGAACAAGTGTTTGATGAAATGCTATAATGAAGAATTGTATTTGCGCATTCTTGTTTTGTTTTCTGTTTATGTTTGATTGGGTTTGTAATGAAAGTATTCTGTAGGGTTTAGGGTTAATTGAGTTGTGATGCTATATTAATGTCCAACAAGTGTTTGATGAAATGCTACAATGAAGAATTGTATTTGCATGACAAACATTTTGTATAATATGCACAAGATTTACACCCACGTTTGCATAATTCACAATTTGACCAAAATTATGTGTAACATGGTTGGACTTAGTTTGGGAAAAAATGTCCGCAAAAAGAGACCGGTCGTGACGAGAAAAAGGTATGTTCATGTTAATTATAGTTTTTTTATGAAAAGTGATTTACTAAATATTCAATTTGTTATATGTTATGTATGATATATATGTTATACATGTTATATGTGCAGATAAGATTAAGACACAAGATTGAGACAGAGTATATTGCTGATATAAATTCAAAGTTGACCAAACACCAACGAGTAGCTATTGAACAAACTCCGTTTAAATGGCTTCTTCAAATAAAAGAGTCATTGCAAATATCAAGCAATATTATAAGAGAACATACCTTTTAATTAGTATAAAATGCAATGTAATCCATTGTATTTCAGTGTTGTAGTGGAAGTGCATGGGCAGATATTGACTATGCAGAACTTGCAGACATTAAAGCTAAGGGGTCATATTGACAATATGGTAAGTTTGTTTATTTAATGAAAAAGTGTGATTCAATATATTTTTAAAAATTATATTTATTAATATCATATGGGTTGTTAGGTGATGTTGTTTGCAAGTAGTGTAATGATGTATGACCAAATGAATGTCACTGGTGGCAGCATTCGACATTTTTGTTTCAATCCTTTGTTTGCGGTATGTTTATTGTGCGTTTAAAAAGTTAAGTTGCACATAGGTATATTATCATTGATTGTCATTTATTTTTGTGCCTTTTGATAGACACAAGTGATTGAACAAATGTACATTCGCAAAGGGAAAACATCTACGTGGACAATGAAAGACTTCTCACTGTTCTATCCAAATACAATTATTCCATTGCAGCAGTTATTGAGTTGTGAACTTGTGAGTATTTATACTTTGCCTAAAATTTATATTTTTGTCAAGATAAAATTCAATTAACCAGAGTTTTTTCTATTTCAGAGTTTTGCTCCCACTGTACACAATGGTCATTGGTGGTGTTATGTGCTGAAATGTAAGGATGGAGAACTGTTTATATTAGATTCATTGGGCCATGATAATAGATCACGAAAACCAATTGATATAGAGCTATGGTAAATATTTGTTTTAAGTTGTTTACTTAGGTAATATAGTTAATTCAGACCTATGTTTATTTGGCGAATAATGTAATATTGTGAACAGTTGCAATGTTTTGAACATCTATTGTCGCTGTTGGAAACAAAGTCATCGAGGACCACTGGAGAACTTAAGGTTTCAAAGGAGGACTTGCCAATTCAACCAAACATGTTAGTATGTTATTATAGTTGAAATTTTGTTTGCAAAATGTTGTATGTAATGTGTGTAATAACTACATTCAATTGTGCAGGTATGATTGTGGATTGTTTGTTTTAAAATATATGGAGTTGTGGGATGGTGTGAGCAAAGTGAATGGGAAAAGCATGCCTCATTACACATCGGTAAACATTAAAGTCATTGTATTATTGTTTTGTTTTTTACTACTATGAATATAATTTATTATGACATTCTTCATATTGTACGGGAGCAAGTTCAGAAATTTCGAGAAGAATATGTATGCGAGATGGGTACTTCATCCTCAAAATCTTCATCGACAAGTCATGGTTATTGAATCGGGAGTTAACGTCCTCATCTAGGAATAGAAATGTAGATATTGTATTTGATTATTTGTTCATCTTCATTGGTGAATGTTCTACAGTTTATTCATATGTAATATAACTTTTAAGTTGGTTATGGATCATTTAAATGTTAAATATTATGACATTAACAAGTGACTGATTTTTGGACCATGGTTAAATATTATCCTCATACCACATACTTGGATGATATATGGAGCGTGGCCACCACCCACTCTCACTGCTCAAGTAAACATCATAGTAACATCAACAATCGGCCAAGTATAACTTAGTTCCACAAAACAAAATGGTCATTAATTTCCATTTGAATTTTTTATGGCAAGATGTTGATATGTAATATAAAAGAAGAAATTCAGATTAAAAGAACAAGGGAAGAGAACAATATAAACTAGCATATGGAAATTGTACAAGTGATAAGATTTATTGTAGGAAAGATGTATAGGTTTACGTATCAGCTTTGTGCATAACAGATAACTTCATGCTTAATAGTTGTAAAGCATGCGCTTAACAAAAAACAGATTGAAATTTGCATGTCACGTCTCATTCAAGTTCAGCCTTGGTCACAGACGAAATGTCCAATGCAGTTAGCCACATACTGTAACATGGATAACCACATATTTTAATCACTTGCCGCTCGACCGAGAATAACGTCGCTTGAGCGAGAAACAACCCGAGAGTCCCTATTTTTTGTAAGGGTACCTCGCTCAAGCGATTCATTAACCGCTTGAGCGAGTGTTGTCCGTAGACGAAACGTCCAACCCAGGTAACCACATAATATGACATGGGTCACCACATATTCGAATCACTTGCCGCTCGAGCGATCATAACGAAGCTTGAGCGACACATACCCCGAGATTCCCCATTGTTTGAAGGTTATGTCGCTTAAGCGATCAGTTCGTCGCGTGAGCGACTGTTGACCCACTGACGAAACGTTAAACGCAGTTAGCCAAATAATATAACTTGGATCACCACATATTAGAAACAGTTGTCGCTCAAGCGTTCATAACGTCGCTTGAGCGAGACAGAACCCGAGTTTCCCCTTTGGTTAAGGTTCCATCGCTCGAGCGATGTAATCCTCGCTTGAGCGACTGGTGAACCACCGACGAAACGTCTTACGCAGTTAGCCATCTAATATAACATGGTTCACCACATATAAGATTCAAATGTCGCTCAAGCGATTAAAATGTCGCTTGAGCGCGACTGAACGCGAGTGTCCCCATTGTTTTGTGCGACCTTAGATAGTGGTTAATAATAACCGCTTTTAAAAATATATATAAGATAGCAGTTACCCTTGAACCGCTGTCTAAAGTATATTTATAATAGCGGTTTTTTTATAACCGCTCCCTTATATCATACTTTTAAAGAGCGGTTGACCCTTGGAATGCTATAATAATTGTAGTTTAGATAGCGGTTGGCCGCATAAGCGCTATCTAAAGTCATATATGTCAAATTGGACAATAATTGATCATAATTTTCGATAACCGATTATAATTTGGAATGATCGATTATAGTTGGAGAACATTGATCATAGTTTGTGCTAAGCGATTATAGTTTTACATAATTTCGCTCTGCATCTCTCTCGCCGGCGCACGCAAAAGAAACGTTCGTTCTCTCCCGGCTCTGGCGTCTATGTTTAATATAGGGTTCTGTTCTAATTACTCGCAGATTCTCTGTTCTCTGTTTTCGTTCACTGTTGACTATCTCAATCGTCGTAAACATAAACCATGGCTGGCAAAAGAAAAAGCTCCAAGCGCACACACTAAGAAGCGACTTCTTCAAGTACCCAAACTGTGACCACGAAGGAGGTGATAGCCCCAAAGGTCCTTGACACCCCAATACTTTGTTAATAACGGATTTGACTTCATTAGCAAAATATAACCGATCATATATCACTTATAATCGATCATCATTACGATTAATCGATTATAACATAAAATAATCGATCATTTTATCTGATTTTGCTAATATCGCTCAAGCGAAATTCACATCGCTCGAGCGACGCCACCTGCTAAGATTGGGGACTCTCGGGTTGTGTTTCGCTTGAACGACAATATTCTCGCTCGAGCGATACCTGATTTACTTTTAAGAGCGGTTAAAGTGGAACCGCTATTATATATGTGTCACTATTACAAGTGAACATATAATAGCGGTTCCAATGTCAGTGCTTCTATCGCGCAGATGTGAAACGGGTGACTGTCGGCGTCGCTCACTGATTTTGCCTTTAGGTTACACGTAAGGTCCGCTTTACCGACTTTATTGTTGCTTACATTTAATTATGACAGATAAATTAATATTATAATCTATTAGCATAATATAACCGATCATACACCACTTATAATCATTCATCATAACGTATAATCGATTATAACCTAAAATAATCGATCCTTTTATCTGATTTTTCTAATATCGCTCAAGCGAAATTCACATGGCTCGAGCGACGCCAAATGCTAAGATTGGGAATTCTCGGGTTGTTTTTCGCTTGAGCGAGCGACACTGTTCTCGCTCGAGCGATATCCATTCAAACATGTGGTCACCCATGTTACATTATGCGGCTAACTTTGATCGAAGTTTAGCCCAGGTCAACATTCGCTCAAGCGAAATTTTCATCGCTCGAGCGACGCCACCTTCTAAGATTGGGGATTCTCGGGTTGTGTTTCGCTTGAGCGAGACTAGTCTCGCTCGAGCGATGTCTGATTCACTTTTAAGAGTGGTTAAATTGGAACCGCTATCATATATGTGTGACTGTAATATTTAAAAGTGATCATATAATAGCGATTTCAAGTTAACCGCTATCTAAAATATACTTTTAATAGCAGTTAGTTATAGAACCGCTCTCTTTAGTAGGTTTAAGTCCCAATTTTAAAAAAAAATTATTCAAAATTTGAAATGCCAACGGAACCACGTTGACGATGTTGCCGGAAAAATTGTACAATGCGGTGGTGAGTGAGTTCGACTGACAAGTTGGGCAAGTTCACAACCGCGTGAGAAAGGTCGAGGAAGGAATGAGAAATTTCTGTGCTAGAAAAATGAGAATTGGAGAAGGAGGAGAGATAGGCAAGGAATGAATTATTTAATAATAAAAACACTGTACATTTAATATTTTTTTATTCAATAACCTTGTACATTTATTATTTTTTTATTGGGTTGTCAAAATATCAGGACTCATTGAGTTATAGTTAGAATAACGCAAGTATAGCATATAATTTATAAAGTGCTATGAACATCTTGTAGTAAAATAAAATACGAAAGAAGAAAAAGTTACCTGATTAAGAAACAAAGTCAAACGAATGTTGTTTTACGTTCACATGCAAAATAAGAGAAAGCAAATAATGTTATCTTACTTATTAATATATTATTGTCATTACTTATTTATTCCTTGATACATGTTAAGAAAATAAATTAAATCTCTTTAATCTTGACGTAAATATTATAATAGTTTGATTTCCTGAATTGAATTTCTGAATTATAAAATTAAAATCATCAATTATTAATGTGCATTATTATTATTATTATAATAGCGCTGTATTTTGATTCAATATTTTTGGGAAGAAAAAAGAAAACAAAAAGAAAATCACTTAAAAGTATGTGTTAAGTACAGGAGGAAAAAAAAGTTGAAATTCTATTTTCTTTTTCATTAAAAGAAGAATTGACAAAGAGAAAAAAAAAAAAAAAAAGATTAAGTTATCTAGATATTACAATAAAGCGGGAAAAGGCAAAAGTCAAGCCTTTTCCCGTCTTAATTATTTTGATGTTTAAAACATTAAGATGTTTGTATAAATTCATGAAGATTGTTCAATAATATACAAACAAAAAAGAAGCATAGTGAAAGATAAAGGCAATGGATTCATTCATTAGTAAAAAATTGAATGACATGATGTCAAAATTTTATTTTATGCTGACATGTAATCATTAAAATCATTGAACAAAAATCATACTCTGAACCCATTGGAATACGCCAATAAAACATCAAAATTCAAGGTGGTATACAAGAAGCAAAATTTTGAGCTGCGACACTCAAATTAAATAAATGGCAAGGCAAAAATAGAAATTAATGTAAGAGGGTTTTCATTTCACAAAGTTGGGGAATCAAGTTGGATAGTCAGAAAAAAATGAAAATATAGAGAAATCGTATTACAGCCTAGACAAAGCTTCCATTATTGATATTGATGGGATTTTGTTCGTACTTTATTCTATTCCTTATGAAGAAAGGAACAAGGAAGAAAGGCAACTAACTACTCTTCTTTACCCTTCTTGTTTTCACCGGCTTTCAGAAACCGTGAAAACCAGTACGCAGATGACTTGGGGTGCCTACTGAGCCCATTCTTATAGTCTACATAGACCAATCCAAAGCGTTTGGTATAACCTTGAGCCCATTCAAAGTTGTCCAGTAATGACCAAGCAAAGTAGCCCCTCACATCTACTCCATCCCTGTGCATTCAAATCATACACAAAAATTAGCTCTGTTTAAACTCAACTCATTCTCATTCTGTCTACAAGGTCAAGTTTAGTCCTCGTGCCTGTTTAAAAAATCTAGGATATTAGGATGTTGATATATAAAACGGTTTAAATTTACATATGCATCGCTAAATTGTATAAATGATAGCAAAAGCACACACAAACATAGTTTTAATCTCAAAAAGAAATGGAAATTAATCAAAATCTCATGAATGACTATGATATCACACTTTATACTTTCAATCTCGTTATTTTCTTGTCCTTCACTAGTGAAAAAAATCTTCTCTAATTAAATCTTATTCATCAAGAGAAAGATTAGCAACTTTAAGAATAGCAATCCCTCCATACGCATCTCTTCATTCCTGTACCAAAATCTATCCGTTTTCTCTCACGCTCATTATAATTGTTACTCTTTCTTCAGATGAGACAGAGATTTATCTGTATCAAAATTAAATCAACTTAGTGGAGAGATGGGTCTCTTGCGTTGCCAAATAGTACTCAAATTAAGTATTCGGATTTTTAAAATGACTATTTTTGGTTTGGATCACGTACCCAACCAACAATAGTATGCTGGTTCATATCTAATATGATATGAATCCGTAAGTATCTGAGAGGGGAAACTGTATTTGGTAATGAGATGAATTTTGCGTTTTTATCAAATTTTTTTCATTGTTTTTTTAAAAAACCTGTATCGAAAAGATCCCACTTAGGGTTCTTTCTATTCTAAACTATAGCTTATTCTCAGAGGTATGCACTAAACATGAAATTATTATATGATCCTAGACCACATGTTCTATAAACCTCTGACCAATTTTTGTGTGAGATGTATTTCAGTTTTTAAATTAAAGAAAAATAATTGATAATATGTAATTATATGTCACGTATAGATTGGTCGGAACTATAAATGAGTGGTAATAACCACTTAATAACTTCTCGTATAACTACGGTAAAAAACGACGAGAAAAACGAAATGCATTAACTTCATCATATCCCTTTGGACAAGATATTTATAAAAACAAAAATGGCACCCCAATATCAAGCAAAATGAGGTCATAAGGCATCAATCACGTATAATTCAAACAGGAGAGATGCGTCTAACCACCAGATTTCTCGTTAATTGGTGAAATAAAAAGGTTTAATTCAAGCAGATGGTCTATAGGTAGAAAGTGGCAAACTCACTTTATAGCCTGAGCAACTGATGCAAGATATCCCTTGAAATAACGAACTCTAAGTTTGTCATCTAGCATCTCATGTAGCGGCAAGTTATCATTGTCTTCGTCATCCATACCTGCCAAAGAGATATCCGGCCTCAGATAGACGAGAACCATTTCATAATGTATTCGCAACCATGTATAGTTAGTGCATATTCTTAATTGTCGCTATATAGTAAAAGATTCAATACAGGAATTTATCCAAACAAGGCCAATAATGCTTTTCACTAGACATCTGATTTCTTCTTGACATTTTTTCTTTAGTTGTTTACATTCTACCTGTTTTCTTGCTAAATTTATAGGAAGGATAAGTACAGTCACGTACCATTCTCTGTGACAAATATCGGAGTAGCAGCATATTTTTGTGATACGTAATTGAGAATCTTCCGAAGACCCCAGGGAACAACGTAAAGCCACTCTGATGCTGCCTGTTACATTCACACAGAATAAAAAACTTGCATGTTTGGGCTTTACATATGTTAATATAACAAGAAGTTTTAGAATTTTCCTATGAATTCTTGGGGACGGCATTTAATTGTAATATTTTATTTTGCAGACGGCTAATATTATGACCCATTTGATGATTAATACCGACCAATTAATTGTTCACGGATTTTAAACACCAAATTCTAATTAGTGTAGGAAACAGTGTAAGCCTAACCACTACGCCCGAAATAGGAGATGCCTAGAGTTAACCAATAGCTAGGTTAGGTTGGGTTCCTTTTGAAATCACACATTCATTATCAATTGTTCTCTCGGTTTGCCCATTGAAAACTCTAACACATGGAATGTGTGATCAAATAAAGGAAGACATGACTTTCCCAAGTAAGGATTTATCAGTGTTTTAAATTCATATAAATTATTCTGCTTTTGGTATATTATTTATTTTAATCTTAAAACAAGCACATTGAGAGAGGGAGAATACACACCTTCTCACCTATGGCCTGGCCACCTTCCCATTCCTCTAATGACAAGAAGAACACATATCAAGGAGAATTCATTGTCTAAGATATTTTAGAAAATGAGAAAATGTTCTAATTATTACCAATCCTCTTCATCTCCTGCACCTTGTAATAGTAGTTTTCTTCAGCACATTCTGTCACATGAGAAATAAACCTTGACGTATAGTGATTTAGACCAATGAAGTCCAATTTATTTGAGAGAATTTTCTTATCCTCCTCGGAGAACTTGGGAAGCTGGTCTCCAAGTCGCTCACGCATAACTTCAGGATAGTCTCCGAAATAGAGTGGATGCAAGAACCTGGGTTAAAATCATATTTTAGCAAAAAACATGCATCTCACACCCAGGTTAGATATGACTTCAAACTGCAAACCTATAGAAGCCTCATATTCTACTTTGAGTAGAATATTAGTTTGTCTTCATTAACTAAGTGATGTGAAGTAGAAAAATACAAAGGAAAAGTTTCAGATCCAGATCTTTAGCTGAATAAGTTAACAGTTCGTATAATCATGATAAGGAATTGATGCTCCATTGAATAAATTTTCAGTAAAGTGAGTAGTAGTTGGAGATTATAACAGCCAAAGCTTCCTTTAGAAAACGATTGTATTCCACTATGAATGATTGATTACAGAGCAGAGGTGTATACAGGTAAATAGCTGTACAGAGGCCAAAATTAGAGGAGCTAATATCATCTTCACTGGCAGCAAACTGAAACAACCATAAGGCTAAGAGGGGAACCATCCCTCAAAAGCTAGCTCAAGAGGTTGGAGAACCTCCTACCTTATAAGGCCTCCCTGGTAAGGAGACCTCCCCAATGTGGGACTTGTTACAATACCACCCCGTTCGAAAGCCAGCGTCCTTGATGGCTGCACTCCACGACACTTCACTCACCGGCACTTCACTCACTAGCACTTTACTCGGCTTTCTTACCGGTCAGAACCCTCCAGTGGTCAGAACCCTCCGGCGGTCAGAACCCTCCGGCGGTAGCCCTTCTCGAGTTGGCTGGCTCTCAATGAAAGCACCATTGAAACAACCATAAGACTAAGAGGGGAACCATCCCTCAAAAGCTAGCTCAAGAGGTTGGAGAACCTCCTACCTTATAAGGCCTCCCTGGTAAGGAGACCTCCCCAATGTGGGACTTGTTACACAAACTGAAAAGGAAAAGAATATTACAACAAACAAACTCAATGGCCCAAACTATATATCTTGGTTAACATCTATGCACTGTCGATTCTTGGTCAAGGCTATTATGATCATTTAGAAAAAGATATCACCGAAGTGCCATCTAAAAAAAATTAAACAATGGAAGAAGCCAGGCTTTTAGCTTTGTGCTCTCTTGTGGCACGGGAACTTAGTGGAACCCAACAGACTGAACACCCTTAGAACATTCAAAACACGCAACTCCTGGAAAATGGCTAAAAATGTGTTATGGCTGCACGATTTGCTAATCATAACCTTCTCAATGAGTTGAGTGTTCCTTTCGTATTCTTGCTAATCATATGTGGTGCCTCCTATTACACACAATACCTAAATTGGTCTTTGATACTAGTTGATAGAACGGGATCAAAAAATGAAGTTACTGAAATGGATATTATTGAGAAAATCCCAAATTATGAATTGTGGTTACAGAACTCGATATGGAAAAAGGTTGATGCACATATTTTAAAGACTAATGCTCTAGCAAGTTTTGGTTCCTAAAAATTCCCCTTCTATTTCTCCCATTCCCCTCCTTTATTTCTGTTATTACAGGTTGCAACCTATAGAAACTAAAAATGCCAGTTGGAAAGTTATTATACATAATACATATATACACCCTCCTAAATGGACGTCTTAGTCTATCATTTTCAGGCAATAGAATGTCTCAATCGCTCATTAAAATCTGGTTTGAGTTCCTTAAAACTAAATTTGAGGAATTAAAATAATTTTTTTAAAACTGAAGGACTAAATTCTTTTTCTTCAAATTTATGGGACAAAACTGAAATTCTTAAAATTTGAGATCAAAATCAGATTCAACGTAAATTTTAGGAACTAAAATGTTATTAAACCCAGATAATATAGGAACTACCAGCCAATCTGAAAATCCAGTCGCCTTGCAGCAGCAGCTTTATCTTCAATCGTATCAGAATTAGCCTCTGCCCATTCACAATCTACCACGAAGCCTACTTGTCCCCCTTGTTTATCCTAAATCATCAAGACATTAAAAAGGATGAAATTTTACATTCGAAACATTAACTTAAATATAGTCAGCATTAAATTATTGTTGAACAAATTCACAGATAATTTGATCATTCACAACAAATGGTCTGGAAAGTAGGATTTGGAAATACGGATGAATCAACTCCACTGGTCTCCACAAAATCCACCTTTTCATTCCAACATTTCTCAATGGTTTCTAAAATTTTTTATTAGATCTGACCATATACAGATAATTGAAATACAGAAAATCAAGTTGGTAATTTAAAGATAGAAATAAAATAGCAAAAATAGGCAAATAATTGAAAATTAATAAAATAAACAAAGGGGACGAATGGGGGAACATCAAAATAAAAGAAATAGTGCACAAAATAAAAGTAATCCAACTTGCAAAATTCAATTTTTTTAGTAGAAATAAATGGATACAGTCCTGCACCTTGTACTTGCTTTGGTAGATGGAAACAGCCGCTGCATGGGCTAAAATCTGATGATGTGCTGCCAAATATGGCTCTATACGAGCATTCTCTCGTCTTCCAGGAGCAAAAATTCCAACATCATACCCATTGATCGCAGTTTGAAGTGGCTCATTAAGAGTAATCCAGTTCTTCACTCTATCGCCAAAACTTGCAAAGCAAGTGTCTGCATAAACAGCAAAGTACTCTCTGGCAAATGCCACATCAGAACCACACATTCAAGAATAGAATATTGGAAATCAATCCTTAAGATAATTTTATACACTGTTGTCAATAAAAGTTCGACGTAAAAAAGTTAAAAGGGAGCACCTAGGACCAAGGCAAAGACATGAGAAAAGGTCGGTTTACTGAGAGCATAATGGGTCAAATACAGAATTAGGTGTTCAAGGCCACTGGAATAAATATAACCACAAATTTCAATTAGTTGAGTCTAACCAGGTTCTCGACGTTCCAGCTTGGTTAATGAAAAAATAAAAAAATAAAAAAGTGTTCAAGCTTAGCATAATTATTTAGCAAGGCCACTAGAATAAATATAACCACAAATTTCAATTAGTTGAGTCTAACCAGGTTCTCGACGTTTCAGCTTGGTTAATGAAAAAATAAAAAAATAAATAAGTGTTCAAGCTTAGCATAATTATTTAGCAAGGCATTCAGCAATCCTTTTTGATGATTGAACTCAAGTGTCTTAATTTAGCATTCATATGGGAGTGGATGGACTTACAAATATCCTCCCAAACTTGCCAAGAATGAAAGCAGTAAACCACTCCAGGTCGCACTGATTCAGAAATTGTTGAGAACAGCCATGTGAAGAGCAAGGAGTCATGGTGCTCCCATGCTGAATATTCGGGATTAACAGTATCTAAGTCAGGACTTTTCTCAGAGAAAGATTGCGGAGGAATGGAGGAAATGGCCAGAAATTTAAGAAGCTTGTAGCCTCCGATCACTCCTCTATTCCTTTAAACAAAATTTTAGTGTCTCATTTGAGTGTAATTTTGAAAGAGAAAAGGATGTAGATATAGGATATTTAAGAGATGGGGAACACATGTTTCAAGATCAAAGAGAAGCTCTTGATAACCATTTGAAATTCAAGCCGGTAGAGAGAGATAGAAAGAGTGAACTGAGAATTGTGAGAAAATAAGATCCATCCATCATACATACATACATACTCCTCTGTTTTGTATGAACACAAGAATTTCAATTATGACTCTACCATAAATCTGAACTTGACATCTAGGGCCTAAATCAAATTTGTGGCTTTTCAGTGTACTTGCTATCCATAGATGCTAATTTTTATTTCAAGAAAATCGTATTTTATTCTGATTTATGGCCTCCCTCTTCAGGCCTCTTTCTGACTTTTTCTTTTCTCTTCTATTTCCACTGTTTCAGTCCTTGTTGCTTGCTGCCACTGCCTGTCATCACCACCTGCCACTGCAGCTGCAACCACTCCAATTGACACCACGTCTGACCAACTTTTTGGTAGGTACCACTGTTATCAAACTCGCCTAGCCACCCTTTGTCCCAACATGTACTCGCCTCTGTAATTGGCATTTCTCGCCATACTGGGTCTAACTTTTCCATCTTTACTATGGCAATGTGTTCTCAATTGCCGACATAGATGGAACTAATTATCACACCTGACCTTTGAGCTTTTTACTAGATAACAGCCTACATTGATGAAAAAGATTACCCTCGCTACTAGTTCTACCGCGTCTGTTGCACACAAAGCCACTTTTTTGCATGTCTCACTCCACCTCTTTTGGCTCTTGGGTCCTCAAAGTGCCATCAATCATATTGCATATGATAAGACTCTTTCCACCTTTTTTTTTTACTATTTGTTGTCATGGCTGAAGACCCCAAATCTTGCCCGGCCTCGCAATAGGTTCAGAAATCCTCCGTTTCGAAAATGGTTAAGGCTTCATAAGGTCCCTAGTAGCATTTTCTAGGTTCCATTTAGGATAAGGAGGGTTTCCTGAGAAAATAAAAATCGGAAATTTTGTCGGAAGACCTCGGATGGCCGTCTATGCTTATTACTAAGCCATGGACGGCCATCCATTTGGACCAGACGACCATCCATGCCTATTTTAAGCCATGGACGACCGTCTATGATAAATAGACAGTCGTCCATGCTCATTTTAGGCCATGGACAACAATCTACTTAAGCCAGACGACCGTCCAGATTTCCTGGCGCGTTTCCCTATAAATAGGGCCTCATTTCTCACATTCCACACACCACACACTCTCCCATGCTTTAGAGGACCTATTTTGGGACTTCTTAACAACTCTGAGCATTATTCCAGAGTACGAGTAATCTTTTGACACTCGAGGAGTTTAATTTTTATTTTTTGTTCGAGGGAGGAGTGTCTCTGTAGAGTGTGGGGACTGTCAAAAAGCGTCTTCAAGTTCAAGATTTATAAAAGCTCGCTTCGGAGGTTCTTCTTCATATCTCTTCTCTTCTATCGTTTTCCTTTATTGTTTTCCTTTGTGTGCATTAGTTATTAGAGCCATGTAGATAGTCATTTAAATATTGCAATGAATAAATAGGGTAGAAACATAATTTTTATGTCTTTATTTTTAAGATTATTCCATCATAGGGAACCCAAAAGGGACGTTGTGGAGTGCTAACACCTTCCCCACACGTAACTAACTCCCTTACCCAACTCTGGTTGTAATGGCCAAAATTGGTTTTCTTAAAACCAACGCCTTCTTTTATTTTCCTTTTCCAATGTTTATGGTAAAAACATTGGTGGTGACTGCAAAACCCTCTTATGAAAACCTCGCTCTTAAGGGTAGTTCGGTTATCGAACATCTTAAGAGCGATAACCACATTTTTACATTAAATGCGAGTCATCAAAACCATCGCGTCGTACCGACCGCTTTTTACGGCGGCGACAATGGCTAATAGCCCCATTTCATTGTGTTGGTATTGTTCAGTTTCTCCTTTCTCTTTCAATTGAAATGTCCTTTATGTTTTCGAGTGTCCATTTAATTTATTATCCCTTAATCATCTCACCCGATCTCTCGATTGTGTCATATCTTTTACTAAAGATTTTGTTTTCTTACAAGACAAAAGTTCAAGATGGATGATTAACACCGAATATGAGTCTCATAGTTTTTACCATCTTCCAACCACTTCTCATGGTGGTGGATTCCCTCTCTTTCATCTACGCTCATTTGGGGCATCTTAGACTTGGCAAGCTACAAAAACTTGTCTTGCATTTGTTTATGTCATTCACTATGTCATGTGAGTCATGTCAATTAGACAAACATAACTTAGTTCTCCAACTAAACTTTGTCTCCTTTTGTTTTAGTTCAATATGATATTTGGGGACAAAATTATGTTAAGTCCACTTTAGGATTTAAGTATTTTGTAACTTCTATTATTGATTATTCTCAATGTACTTGGTTGTTCTTAATGAGAAATCGTTCTGAGTTGCTTTTAGTCTTTCAATCTAAAATTAAAAATCAATATGTTTCTATTCAAACTTTCGTAGCGTAATTCCATGAGTATTTCTCCCATTCTTTTCAAACATTTAGGCTCCCCACGTTATTCTTCATCAGATCTCATGTACATATGCATCTCAATAACATGGGGTTGCTAAGAGAAAAAATGGACATCTTATCTAAATAACTCGAACCCTTTTACTTTATGGTCAATTTTCTCACCAATTTTATCGTGATATTGTCCTTTCTATGTGTCATCTCATCAATCTCATGTCATCCTCGATCTTAAATCACCAAGTCCATCATTCTACTTTATTTTCTCATTAACCTCTAGACCCATTACCCCCTCGAGTCTTCATGTTTACATGTGTTTTTCATATCCTTAGTCCTAGTCTTGTAAATTGTCAACTCAATCTCACAAATGTGTATTTTAGGGTTGTCTTTGTCTTAAAAAGGATATAAGTGTTTCTTAATCTCCATTTATCGTTATTCACCTTCTTTGAGTCTTCTCTCTACTTTGCATCTAATTCTCTCTTTTTATAGCCTAGTCCAACCCCAATGTTACCCCTCTTGTCTTTGATACCAATGTTGCGTTTAATGTACCAATGATCCATCACTTTTGCCTCCTTCTCGAGTATACCATCGTCAACTAGATCCATCCCTTGTAGTTGGGCGACCTATTGACTCCTTCTCGGAACCACCTATTTCATTTGCTCTAACCCTATCATTTGAGCCTAGTCTTCCAATTACTCTTCGTAAGGGTATGTGCTTCACTAGTTACTCATCATCAAGCTATGCTCCATCCATTTATAATTGTCTCTTTTCTATTTCCTCTATCCATTTCTAAAACTATAGGTGATGTTTTAGCCCACCTAGCTAGAGACAACCCATGCTTGATGAATTTTGTGATTTTCAAAATAGTGGATTTTGGGACATCGTTCCGTTGCCCTCTATAAAATTTGTTATTGGTTGAAGGTGGATCTTCACTATTGACTAGCTTAAAGATCACTTGATAGTTAAAGCTTATACTCAAATATTCAAGTTGGACTATGGTGACATCTTCATTCTCGTTTGCTAAGATGACCTTTGTCCAATTACTCCTCACCATAACTACTCTTTTTCGTTCGCCCCTTTATCAATTGGATGTCAAAAATGTCTTCTTTCAAGGTGATTTGCTAGAGGAAATTTATATGGAGAAATCTTTTGGTTTTGTTGCTCAGTAGGAGTCTTCCAGATTGGTATGTTACCTTCACAGATCTTTATATGGTCTCAAACAGTCCCCTAATACATGGTTTGGTATATTTAGTGCATGCAATGTCCACCATTTAGTATAACTTGAAGTGAGTTTGAACATTTGGTGTTTTACCGACACATATTCTTGGGTGTATCTACATGGTAGTTTATGTTTATGACATTGTTCTCACAAGTAATGATCACTATGGTATTTTAGAGATAAAAGAACACCTTTGTCGTCAATTTTAGACGAAAGGGCCCTGGGAAACTCAAACATTTCTTAGGATCGAAGAAAATGATATAACAATGGAATTGTTTCTCAAAGGAAGGACACATTGGATATTTTAGAGGAAATTGGATTATTGAATTCCAAGCTCATTGGCTCAACATGGATCCTAATACCAAACTTCTACCTATTCAGGGAGAGTCACTTTCAGATCTTGAGAAATACAAAAGACCAGTTTGAAAAGTTAACTACCTCATAGGTACTTGCCTTGAAATCTTTATTGTAGTTAGTATGATAAGTCAGTTTTTTAATTCTCTGTATAGAACATTGAACACAATTATTCGAATTTTGAAGTATATTAAAGGTGTCCTAGGAAAAGGCTTGTTATACAAACAAAATAATCACACTCATGTCGTGGGTTATTCAAATGCAAATTTGACAGGCTCTCTCTGAATATTGTGTCTTTATTGGTGACAATTTGATCTCTTGGAAAAGTAAGAAGCATAGTGACATTATTTAGTGTAGAAGTAAAGTATAGAGTTATGGCCTTTATCACCTATGAGCTTATTTAGCTCTAACTATTGTTTAAAGATTTGAGATTTGGCGAAGTTATACAAATGACTTTCATTTATGCCAATCAAGATGTCCTTCATATTGCCTTAAATCTAGTATTTTACGAGAGGACCAAACATACCAAGATAGATTGTCACTTCATTCGTGAAGATTGTATTTGGAAACATTACTACTCTGTTAATTCCAATGATTAGTTGTTATTTGTCTTCACCAAATCATTACAGGGTCCTAGAATTGATCATATTTGTAACATGGTGCATATGATTTATAAATTCCAGGGGAGTGTTAGATGTAGTTAAATAAAAGGGTTTAGACCTATCTCATTGTATTGTAATCTCTGTCTCTCTCTCTCACTCACACACACACACTCTCTCTCTCTCTCTCTCTCTCTCTCTATATATATATATATATATATATATATATATATATATATATATATATATAAACTTTAATATTTTCAAGCACAATACAAATCAGTTACATAAAAACTTACATGATTTGTTTATTTAACCATCCTCCCACTGACTCGTCAAGATGCAGCGGAAGATCCCAATGATACAAAGTTACATAAGGTTGTATACCTGTTGGTAAATAGTAACTTAATATAATATTTTTTGGATAGTGATAAAAAAAATAAAGTTAAAGTAGTTGCATGAGATCATACCTCTTTCAAGAAGAGCATTTATAATGTTGTTATAAAAATTTATCCCTTCAGCATTTATTTTGGTTCCTAAGCCATCTACACCAAAAAAACATTACAATACAATAAAATGATAAATCCAAAGAATCCTTGTCATTTTATGCACTAAAAAAACAAGTCAAATATCATCGTCACAATGACATAACCAAACACATAAGATTGACAAGCATTTCCTCAAAGAAAAGTAGAACAGTGACTGTATAGTTACGGCTCATGTTCCTACAAGGCTCCAAGTGGTCAATGTGTTTACTGTGGGGCTTCTACTAATAGATTCCAAGAGCTTATAGACTAGTTTGGAATGATTGATATTAATTTACCAACTTCAGGGGAGTAATGTAAATGACAGTATCTTAGTTTAGGGGATCTAAAGATAATCTTAATTGATTTTTTATTTTATAATTTTTTTTCTTTTATAAATTCTCTTGACTTATTAGTAAAATCATACCCTTCTTAACTTTTTTATTTCCTGAATCACCTAATTTCTTCCCGAAAGCATGTAATACCCTTAGGTGGACCTTCTATCAAGAATTTATCTTACATACTCTACATTTGTAATAACTTGTATGGATAGTACCTTTTCTTCTAAATAACAATCCTCTTCCCAAACTTGCTTTCAAATACTGAAGAATTTGGTTTACTGTCAGCAAATTTCTCTCTCAAGGATCATGCATGAATTAACTAAACACACTCACAGCAAAAGCAATCTCTAGTCTAGTATGGGAGAAATAGACGAGTTTTCCTTCAAATTCTTTGGTCTTGGAGAAGAAGATACTCATAGTCATCAATGACTAAGTGAAACACCATCCAACATAGAGAAAAGTGCTTTTTGAACTAACCATGGGGACTCTGAATTACTAGTCGTGCCATGCAGGGTCACCAATGCCCCTTCAACTTTCAAAGTTTGACGAAGTCTTTCATTCGCAATTTCGTAAGTTCACATATTCTTTTTTTCATGACATCTAATACAAACAAAACATGGACTAAACATATGCATCATGCAAAGTTAGGTTTTTTAGTTTGGAGGACTAACTTATTGCTATTGAAGAAATCCACTTGCCATTTTTGGTGGTGAACCACAAATAGCATATTTTGCTTATATTATCCATGTGGTAGTGGCTAAAATCAAAGCAGTTACAGGTTAGCATGTTCCTCAAACAATCAAGGCGCTTCAAAATTTTCTTGGGTTAGCAAACTATTAATAAAATATTATAAAGAATATGACCCAATATCAAGTTGTTTGACTCTATTAATTAAAATTTTTAATACATATCGTAGCTTTTAAAAGGCACTATGCTACTGGAATAAGAATCATTATAAATTATTTCCTTTTTCATCGGAAAATGTTTCGTGTTAGTTTAAGAAGGTTTCGATTAAGGACAAGTTGGTTCTTTGCTTTAATTATAGATGGCAAGGAGTGTTTATTTCCTTGATCTGTCACTCAGTCTTATGAAAAGGCACACATAACATGGTCTTTCTCATGTTATTTCCAGTCCCTCCCTCTCAATCCTTAAAGAATCCTTTGGTCAACATTTGTGGAAAATGAACATATATTTGGAGCCAAAAGATAAATATATTAGCTACTAACAGTGTAATGCTTAAATGGATAAACTTTCAGGATTCATAATGTCATGGAGATGGAAATTGATTTATTAAAAACTAACCATATAGAAAACAAGTTTAAAATTCATTAATAGTGAAACATACCAGGGAAAATACGAGACCACGAAATTGAAAATCTATAAGCATTAAATCCCAACTTGGCTATAAGATCAATATCTTCCTGTTAAGATTTGAAAATTTGTGCATAAGGCAAACCGGCAGTTAATACTTCATAGAAATAATTATAAGATTCCCTAAATAATATTTCAGCTATCCCTCCATACTCTCCTGCAAAAATAGAGTCAATGACTTTCCATCTAAACCTATTTGTCTTCAAAGAGAAAAACAGGTATAGAATCATTAATGAAGTGGTGAAAAGAAAAAAAGGAACCATTCATATGAGAAAATGACAGTCTCCAAGGAAGTAACATTACTTGAGCAATGTAGTTTAGCCCAAAATTAATCGCTAACAGCAATATGTAAACACAACATAAAACAAATGTCAAAAAATTAAAAAGAAAATATGTTACTGACCATGTATCGATGATAATGATCAACTGCAACATCACCATTGCTTTTGTCAATAATTTTTCCTAAAATAATGGAGACAAACCAATTAATAAAGCAGAAGGAGTGTCATTAAGTAAACTATAGTGAAGGGTTTCGCAATCTATTAATATTAAGGAAAAAGTTTTCATACCTTCAATGTGTGAAAAGGCATCCCATATGCTAGGACCTCTGCCACCCTGCTTGCAAGCGCCTTCTATCTAGAAATTTGCAACAAGTACTTTAATGTCTAATTGTACAATTTTCCCATCAGTTAAAATACAGAATTACTTATCTCAACATATTGAATAAATGGTTACCTAGTTTAGCTTTATACATATCATGACATTCCACTTTATCAAAGCCAAATTTAGGATATGTTTAGCAAAAATCCAAGAAGCCTACGCTATAAGAAAAATGGAGTAAGAATGATCGAACAAACTAAGCACTGCAGAGTATCTTCAACCAAAGAAGGAAGAACTAAAAGGTTTAAGAAAACCAAGAATTTCAAAGTTCAAATGGCAAGAAGAATTAGGTGCGGTGCAGTCAATGTTTGCGTGTAAGGACCATGTTTAATTTAAGTGGTTTAATTAGGTGAACTTTGATTCTTTTACTAGTTTAGTTAAAAGGGTTATGAATAGAAAACTATTCAAACATCTATTATATACAAAACCACCATCTCTAAATTTCTTTATTTGCCTTTTCTCTAAGATATCTCACTCCTCTGTCATCTTTAACCAGATTCGAACCTATCTTAGCGCTCTAGACAAAGAGTAGAGCACTTTTGTCCAATCAGAAGTTGTTTTTGGGTAAGTCCTTCTTTATCCCTTCTATGAATTGTTTTGCATGTGGTAGTATGGGCTACATGTGGGTCCTAGGTCTTTGCATGTGTAGGTTTTGGGATAAAAAGAAACTCTACCAGTTTAGGAGTATAGTGATGTGTTCAATTTGTTCATTTGAGTATTGTGTGAGCCAAATTGGACTTGTGAAATTTAGGACTTTTGGGGCTATTACTTGAAAGAGGCAAAGTGAGAAAGAGGTAAGGATAACTAATTTTAAAATCTTTAATACCTTAAGTAGACTATCTGAATGTTATTGAGTGACTTAGTGATGTGAATCACAAGTGGTGATTTAGGATTTTTAGGGTTAGAACCTTGTAGGAAATTTAAGAATTTAGTGATAAGGTGGAAGGAAAGAATCACTCTTTCCAAGGAAGGCAACTCACAAAGGATATGAAAGTCCTTTGATACAGCCAAATATTCTTGAATCACTCAAGAACTTAGAAGAATCACTCTCACTATGATAAAAGAGCTAAATTATAATATTTCTGAATAAAACTCAACTTGTTATTTCTGATAAAAATGGTTCAGCTTATAAAGAAGCTTTGCCATCAGAGTTACAAAGATTCACTAAAGGAAAATAAATGCTAATAATCATTTATTAACCTAGAAATTGAAAACTACTTAATGTCTGATTGTAACTGAAATTGTGACAAACAAAAGATAATCAGCTATGCACCCTCTTGGTCTCCCAAAGACTGATAACTAAATTTCCAATTGGGCCCTTATTACAACTTGCAATAAAACCAAACTAAAACCCATTAATTGATTAATCCAAAACACAATTTGGTCAACCAACAATACTTGTGAAGAGGTTCATTTGCTTCTCTTACTCTAGCCCTTATCATAGGTCATGTTCACATCACTTGGTCATTAGTATTTACCTTGCAGGATGTTAAGGTTCCAACATAAAACCAATTGGCAATATGTGGAGTAGCCTAACATGTATTTAAACCATACCAAATGACATGAGGCAGACGATGTGGGACTTCCAATACGCCCCCTCCAACGAAGCCTGCTGGACCAGACAAAGGGTACTTTTGACCCACAACAAAACGGCAACTCTTGGCCCAAGACAATAACCGAAAAGATGTTAGGCTTTGACTCTGATACCAAGTTAAGAGAGTTAAAAAAATATTTATAATTTAGTGGGATGCATCACTCCACTCTATGATCTCATATATATATATATATATATAGGATTACAACATTTAAAAAATAACCACCAACCACCAACTACTAATCACTAACCACTACCTAATAATAATTCTAACATAGGAATTGTAATTTGGTTGTGTATTTGGAATTTGGAGGTGTTTTACGAACCCTAATTATGTCCAGAATTTTGAGGCAAAGTGACTAAATTGGCTAGATTAGAATAAGGTTTGGTGAAAAACATGGGAGTGTTGTGTTTTAAGGACATTCTAGACCAACTTGGCCATTTTCTGCATAATTCTATTTTATGCATAATTTGCTCAAGCAACGTTGGTCACTCAAGCGAAAATGCATCCAAGAGACAAAAGCTTTATTTTGGAATATTATCACTCAAACAATGGTTGGTTGCTTATGTGACAAGACTCATGGAATAGAGAAAATTGTGTCAATCTTATTTTTGCTCAAGTAAGAAACTTAATAAAAAAACTCCTAGTAGAGAAATAATTGACTCGACCCTATTTTCACTCAAGCAAAAATACTCCAAAAATAAATGAAGGGTCTAGAAGGATTGTCGCAAGAGCTCGCTCAAGCAACAATTCTCTACTTATGTTGTGGGTTTAGGTGTTTCAAAATTTTATTGTGCCTTTACTTGAATTTTTGATGATGACATTGATTATATGAACAGTAATGTGATGAGTATGGCACTTACCAAGGAGGTAATATTGTATTGGGGTGCATTGAAGTAGGAATTCATTAGATATTCTAACTCTACTAATACTAGAATTACATATAAGAAAGTATCAAATGATAAGAGTTTATGGAAATTCCTCTTACTTGATCTGAGTTGTGTATTCATCAGTAACATATAAGTATTAAGAATTTACCTTAGTTATATGTGTAATGATGGTTTAATTATGCGAACCTAAGTAGTTGGAAGAGGGAGGTGAACAAGTGTAACAGGTGTAGATTTCTGAGTTTGAAGTTTCAATGTATGGTTTTTGGAAAATGGTCAGTTGTGTAGTGTGGATGAGAATGAGCTTGTAAAAGTATGTTAAGTTGGATGTATTGAATGTGATGTAGACATTGAGTTAATCGTGTGTTTATTATGATTATGAATATGTTTGAATATATTTTGAAATAAATGATTATTTTTACATGTCTAACTATCATAATTGTGTTTACACATTACTATATGATATTGCAAGTAGCTGATCTCAATCGGCATAGGCCGGATGAAGACTTGCAAGATTTGCCTTAGATCTTTTGTTTGTCTTTTGAGATTTGTGTAAAAACCCTATGAAAAGGACAATTAGTTCATTTGGAGAGATGTTATACGTAAATAATTAGTGTATGTATTCAGTATAATTATTATATGTATTCGGTATTTTTCTTGGATTATTGATAAGTAGTAATTTATAGGTTGTTAGATTGTAAATCCAAATTAATTGATGCTATGTAAAAATTTTGTTAAAACACTGACAGTATAAAAATTTAAGTATTCTCCACCAATACTTGTGTCCAAGCACTGAAACCTTAGAACTACCGATGTAGAAAAGAAAAACAATAAAATAAAGAGTACTGAATAAAATAAAATGCAGCATAAACTTCTTAAAGTATCCCAAACGCCAACACTGACCCAATGAAAGCCACACACAGCGATCTTAAACAGAATTTTTAAAATAATAACAATAATAAGTTCAATAACAACAACACAGAGCTTTTAGTTTTTACTTCTTATTCTTTTGCTAAAAACATAGATCAACAGAATAATTTAATAGGATCAAAAAGACAAAACGAAGAATCAAGGCATTCACATTTGGCACCAAATGCTGATAAAATGGAGATAAAAAAAAGGAAGAGTGAGACCTGATATGCAGAAGTGGCAACTCCGAAGACGAAGTTGGGAGGGAAGTCACTGCGCGAGACAGAACCGTTTTCGTTGTGGCCAGTTTCCCTGAGGAACTCCTCCTTCTTCACCATTTTCTAACAACGATTCTTCTGCTTTTCGTTAACCGTGTTTATAGATTCAACTCAAGCAATGACAACTATAACTTGAGAGAGTCAGAGTAGGTTATTTATAATCCATTCCAAATAAATTACTTTAATACCATCCCTTTAAAAATATCAAATAATGTTAATAATGACCTGTTGGTGATTGGATCTATACTTAATTCAACTTTTAATACAATCCCTTTAAAATTATTAAATAATGTTAATAAGAATTTAATTTAATTATTATTTAATGTATTTAATTAATTAAATATATTTTTAAAATATTAAATTATTTAAATATTTTGAAATTATGAATTTTTTAAAAATATCTTTAAAAAATTATCACCTAATTAATCCAATTTAATCAAAGACGAATTTTGTTATATTAAGCTAACTAAATAAAATCAATTTAATCCCATCCAATCTATCTATTCTTGGTTTTCACTGAGTTGATATTATGTTACTTCAATCTTATTCAAATCATTCATTATACACTGATATTTTAACATCCCTAATTTGTACTTGAATAACACAAATTATATAAATGGTTTAAATAAATATGAACAAATTTTTTTAAAATTTTAAATTATAATAACTGATATATTTTAAGTGTTTTATTTAGAGAAAAATTATGTTTGATTTTTTTATTTTGCAATATTTTTATTTTAAAATTGATCAGTTTGATTTTTTATTTTTGAAAATATGTGATTTTTTTATATAAATTTCACTTTAATTAAATTGATAAAGAAATTAAATATAATTTATATTATTATTTATATTTGATAAGTTGTTTAAAGATTATGAAATTCATTAAATGATTAAATATATATTTTTAAAGTTTGAATATTAACTTGTTAATTTTAAAAATATAGAGATTAAAACTAAATTTAAAAATTACAAGAAATAAAAATATATTAAATATATTTATTTATTATTATTATTATTATTATTATTATTATTTATTATGTTCTGTAATTTTTAAAGATTAAGAAATAAGAATAATTAATTATATCACATAAGAAATGAAAAAATTATTGTTAATTTAAGGAAATAAAATTTATTCTGATATGAGAGAAGGGTCTTGTACAACATGTAGTTGAGACAGGGGTTACATTGAAAGAGAAAGAATTGTCCTATTAGTTAGGTACTTGTCAGAATGTGGTGAAGAGGTTATATTTTTCAGGTTAACAATATTTATCATTTTCATTACTATATATAACATATAAATAAAGAAATAATAAATGTTTAAATCATAATAAAAGTTTATAAAATTAATAAATTCAATAAAAAATCATAAAATAATTATTTATAACATTCATTGAAAAATATGTTAAAATTTTATTGAGAAATATTTTGAAAAACAATTAGGAAAGAAAACAATAGTACATTATTTTTAATTAAATTTACTCATTTTTTTTATATAAATCTTAAGATGATAAAGTCCAATCTCATAAATCAATTGATCAAATATTTTCATTAATAAAGATTTTATAAATAAATTTATTAAATTTTTACATCAACAGAATTCCTATATTCTCATTTTAAAAATAAAAATATATACTATGTCTTCTTTAATATATCTTTATTTTAAATAAGATGTATTAAATGTTATTAACAATTGATAATAAGAAAATATTATTAAATGTTTAACTTAAATATAACAAAAAAACTAAAGTCAAATTTAGATCTCTTATAACCTCTTTTAACTTTAAAAAATCATCAGTAAATTAAATTGAAATACTAGAATCATATAATTTAAAGTTGAAGATCATTGATATATTTAAAAATATAAGAAAATAAAAAATAAAAAAATTATAAAGTTAAAAAATATACTTATTTTCTATAAAAAGATATAAACAACAAATAATATACTCCTCAAATGTACACTTCCCTCAAAAAGCTACTGCTTAATTTTTTTAATTATAAAATTTATATTTTTTCTAAATACTAATGATAAAAAATATTAAAGAATGTTACAACTAACCTCTTGACTAACGATAACGATTGAAAGAGAGGTTACCAACCTTTTAGTCAAACATGATTATAGATAATTAAGTACATTAATTAGCTCTAATTTTTAATTTAGCTAGAGTTAATTAGTAACATTTAACTAACTTATTATGAAACACGTTAACAATTTGTAGAAGGAATTTTTTAGAAAAATTATTTAAAACATTTAAGAAATGCTCTAAGAAAATTCAAAAAAATTATTTAAAATAAATAATTAACTTCAAACATTTTAAAACAAGAAAAAGTCATATTTTAAATATTTTTATATTGAACCATTTTCTTTTTTCTTTTCTTTTTAAAAAAATCGTCTTTTACGAAGGAGATTTTTATACTAAACTATTTTTTTTCTATCTTCCTCTTTGACTCTTTCATCCTTACCTTGCACACAATTTCTTGGTCTCTACTAAAATAAGAAAGCACCAAAGGATTCTCAACTTACAATCACCTAGTGTAGGTTCTAATTGTGCTCTATTCAAAAGGTTAGCTCTTAAATCGATTAGGTTTATATTTAGATCCAACTACACTTGCATTTTGATTTGGAACATGAAATGGTTTCTACTGCAAGCATAAACCAATGATGATCCGTTTCTGTTTAATCACGACAAAATATTATCTATTTTCACTTCTAAGTCTCTCAACAATGTTTGTTCATTTCATACATAACAAGGAAATTGTTGTGGAGCCACCGAGTGAGTCCGAATCTTATATACATGCAGAGTGATACAACAACATGAGCTGTTGGTGGAATAGCCAAGGTATCAAAAAAATGTCAAGGTTATAGTCATGAGGCCATAAAAGTTATTTAACAACATTGATTCAGAGATTCGGGAATGACACCAGTCAAAGAATGTTTCATAAAATTGAAAAATCTGACGTTGATTAGCAGCTGATATTAGTATAATAAATTATAAATTCAAAATGTACAAACCAATAAGAAAATAGAAAAGAAAAAACCTGAAGAAAGTGGGTGTCTAGAAAGTTCTACTTCTGCCCATCAGTGGTTACAATCTACAAGGAGGAAATTCAAACTAAACAAAAATAAGGAATCAGTAATAATGGAGCAAATTTCGTCTACTTCGGAATACTTCAACTACCCACCCCTCATTTGTTATTACACAGCCTATCATTAATATTGCACTAATTGAGTTCATATCCAGCAGCAAATCCCCATTCTTTGTAGGTATTGGTGATGATCAGAAATAAAATGAGTATAGGATGCAATACACACTGATAACAAATAGAATTAAGTATCTATCCTTTATCAAGATCCTTAATATACCGACTCCAAAATCACCCAATTATTTCACCCGATTGGCAAGAAATGAAAATACTCAATCTCAGGTAATCCAAAGCAAGGTAGTAACAGTTCATTCACAGGTAACTTGGTACTGCAAACATTCATCCTCATTTTCTATCATCCCTAGCGATTAACTAAAAGTAGAAGCATGAATTGCCAATGCAGCTACAGTGGCATAAAAGATACCTCTTTCCCAGCTAAACTGTTGACAGTAGTGGCCACAACAGCTGCAGGAATGCTGGCACCATGGTGCCACACAGCAAGATACCAATCTACGTGCCTGCAATTAACTACTCTGCTCAAAAGTCCTCAAGTGAAAGAAAAATAAATTCCAGTCACAAAATGCAACAATCCTGTTATTCATTCAAGCTTCATGAAGCCGAAGGAGTGTCTATATTAACAAAGACAACAAAGCAAAAATCCATATCAAAATTAACACAGCCCAATAAATCTACAAGAAGTTTGGACAACACAATTCAACCACAGCCTACTATTTCAAACAAGTCTCATTTCTTTCCACGACTTGTTAACCATTCAATCAAGTGGCTTTGGCATTCCCCTTGACCTCCCCAGAACAACACATGCCTCCATGCTCGTGATGGTGGTGGTGGTGGTGGTGGTGGTGATGGTGGTGGTGATGTTGGTGGTGCTGCTTCCCCTTGAGCTGCTTCCTCATGTCATAAGCATCCTCTCCATCCGCATAATACTTAGCCTCCACATCATGAATCTTGTACCCCAAGGTCTCGGTGTACAAATTGAAGGCAGCCCGGTTGCTCTTGCGCACGTGCAGAGACACATACTCGGCACCAAACACCTGTGCGGGAGAATCCAATATAAGACCAAGAAAACAAATATACAAATATACCCAATTTTCCTCAAATTGAACATTCTACCATAAATATAATTGGACTGATTCTTATATTTTCCAAAATCCACAATTTTCATCCTTTAATCCCCTCACCTAAATTTAATCTCTCAATTTTTAATTATCATTTGACTGAAAATTACTTTTCTGAACCAATATAGTTTATATATTGAAAGATATGAGTGGTGGACCTGCTCCATGGCGTTCTGGGCGGCGGTCATGAGTTTGGTGGCGAGACCGAGTTTGCGGTGGGTGCGGAGGACGGCGAGGGAGGTGATGTGGCCGTGGCAGTCGGTAGTCTCCTCCTCCATCTTGGCGAGGACGTAGCCGACGATGCGACCGTTGTAGTCTTCAGCGACGTAGAGGAGCTGAGGCCAGGAGAGGATGTGATAGAGGTAGTACTTCATCTGGTAGTTCTCAGGGAGGCAGAAGAGGTTGCACGCCTGCATCGCCAGAAGGTCCTTCACCGTCGCCTTCCTTATGCACACCATTTTCCCCCTTTCTCAAGCTCCCTTCGCTACCTATCGAAAATTGGATTAGGGCTCCACTGGTACCCACACCTCTACTGCCACTCGCTACTAAACCAAATAAATACAAGGCTTAAAGTGTAATTTGGATACTATATATATTTTGTACAAGTACAATTCATAATTTTCATTTTTTTTATTTTTTATTTTTAATTCTCTTAGTTTTAAAATATATTATCAAATTATATTGTTATCATTTGTCGTAGTTATTACCCTAAAATAATAAAAATATTATGATATTTCGTCTTATGTAATTATGTGAGGATGAAAAAACAGAAACTATAGATAATTAAACTTAACTTTAAAGTTATGAGTTGTTAAAAAATAAAAACTGAAATTACTTGTAAATTTTGAGGAAGCAGAAGTTGTAAATAGTCAAAGGTTAAAAAACTAGAAATTATGAGAAGAAAATTTAAAACCAAAATTATGGATTCTTGTAAAATACAATAACAAAAGTACTAAAATCATAGTTAGATCCTTTCCCAAGGAAAGAAAAAAGATAGTCAAGAACAATAATCTCATTGTTTATTTCTTAAACTTTTTATTTTATTCTAAAATTTATTTATATTATTAACCAAAGCTATTTGAAGGTCAAGATTTCATTTTGTTACTTATTATTTCTAAAATATTATATTTTTTAGATCAAGTTTCTCTATTATTATTATTATTGCAAATTTAGTCTCTTTTCATTAATTTAATTTTTAATATTTTAATTATATAATTCTGTTTATTTGTTAAACTTTTTCTTTCCCAGCTTTAATTTTGATATTTAATAATGTAGTTTTTTACTTGTTAATTTGATATTTAAGTTTTAATAAAAATACTGACATAACACTTTATTATCCGATTGCGTCAGTACTTTCATTAAATGATGATAAATGTCAATTGAATATATAACAAAATTATATAATTATGTAATTAAAATAGTGGGAAATTAAATTTATGAAGAAATAACTTTTTTTTTAAATAATGATAATAACGGGACAACATCCACCAATTTCATGAATTTAAGTGACTATTCAATTTCGAAATTACGATCCAGTGCTATATATGATGACCAAGAACGCGACTATAGCTGAATCAAATTCAAGATTATACAAGAGTGATTATTTTTTATAACGACAAATTTATCTTCCTCACGCCATAACTCCTGATCAAGATATTCACAATCAATATAAAATTAAAAACTGAATTTTACAAAGAAATGTTGCTTTTGAATTTCCATAATCTGATATCATTTGTATTGTGTGTGGTAACAATCTTCTTCATTCCAACAGCGAGGCATGTAATAGAAGGTCGAACAGTCTTAGGAATGAGATCAATGTTTATGTAGGTATCTTGGGGCAACCTCTTCCCTTTTCTTCTTTGAATGAACCCAGAAGAACTTTGAGATGTTGGTAACACTTTATCCTCCATAATGCAACACGAAACAGTACTGCCATTGTTCTGATTTAGCAATCTTAGAATACCATCTATTCCACCAACAGCTAATGTTGATGGGTCACTCTGCATGTGCTGTAAGGAGTATATAACATTAGGACTCACTCGGTTGCTCCACAACAGTTTCCTTGTTCTGCATGAAATGAACAAAAAAGGTTGAGCAACTGATAAATCAAAAAATCATATTTTGTCGTGATTAAACAGAAACGGATCATTACTGGTTTATGCTTGCAGTAGAAATCACTTCTGTTCCAAATCTTTATATATTATTTGATATTGTTAAGATATTGTTAGATATTGGTAACCACAATATCAAACAATATCTTCTGTTTATTCTGTTACTTTCAGTTACTCTTTTAGTTGTATTTCTCTACTATAAATAGACCATCCTATGTGTGATTTATACACAAGGGAAATTAATTCCAAACTATATTTTCTTTATATTCAACATGGTATCTAGAGCTTAAGGTTATCTTGAATTTTTTTTCCGCCTTTTGTCCACTGCTGGAGCCGCCCCACCGCCGCTAGAGCCGCCCCACCGCTGCCGGTAACCGATCCTCCACATCGAAAAGAATTATCTTTGTCATTGAATTTTATTTGGTAGTGTGAAAGTGCATGTTTAGGAAAGTTCGGCAAGGAAAGACTTGGTATTTAAGTGTGTCCATTAGTGACCCACCTCTCTTTCCTGGGAACTTACCTAGTGTACTAGTTCACGTTACTGTCACCGCTGCCGCTGGAGCAGTCACTGGGTCCGCCGCTGTCGGAGAATTCGCCGGAGTTTCATTTTTTTTTTACCGGTGACATATGATTTTGCTTGTCTCGGTCAGGGTTTGTTCTCCCGCTCTTTATGACTTCTTCTGTTGCATCCGACATGTCTGCTATGTTCAACAAATTTCTCGAATGGTATAAGGATCAACGATCTTCTAGTTCCACTATATCCGTCACACATACAAATACATATTTTGCTTGGTCCGACCCAATCATTTTCTCCTGGTCCTTGGGTTTTTGATTCAGGAGCCACTGATCATATTACTGGTAACAAATCTTTGTTCTCCTCTTTATCCTCTCCTAATCATTTACCTTCAGTTACATCTGGTCGATGGCTCTAGAGTATCATCTCATGGTGTTGGAACGGTTAAACTCTTTCCTTCTTTAACCATTGATAATGTTCTTTATGTCCCTGGGTCTCCTTTTAACCTCGTTGTCCATCGATCGTCTAACTCGTTCTCTTGATTGTGTTGTTACTTTTACCAACAATTCCGTGTGTTTACAGGACCGGAGTTCGAAACAGGTGATTGGCACAGGATGTGAGTCTCATGGTCTTTATTATCTCCATCCCTCTACACATGTTAGTACAGCTTATGGAGTCTCCTCTCTTCTTCATGCACAGTTAGGTCATCCAAGCCTTGCCAAGTTACGTAAACTTGTCCCCGCCTTGTCTAACTTATCTAGTTTGGCGTGTGAGTCATGTCAATTAGGCAAGCATAGTCGTACTTCCTTTCCTCGTAGTTTCACACGTGGTGCTTCGTCCCCTTTTGCCGTGGTTCACTCGACATTTGGGGACCTAGCCGCGTTAAGTCTACTTTAGGTTTTCAATACTTTGTTACTTTCATTGATGATTATTCCGGATGCACTTGGTTATTTTTGATGAAAAATCGTTCCGAATTATTTCATATCTTTCAAACTTTTTTTAATGAAATTCAAACTCGGCTTCGGTGTTTCTATTAGAGTTTTGCGTAGTGATAATGGCCGTGAATATCTTTCTCATTCTTTTAAACAATTCATGGCTTCTCACCGTATTTTGCATCAAACTTCTTGTGCTTATACACCTCAACAAAATGGTGTAGCTGAACGTAAAAATAGACATCTTATTGAAACAACTCGCACACTTTTAATTCATGGAGATGTTCCTCAACATTTTTGGGGTGATGCTCTTCTTACTCGCATGTTATCTCATTAATCGCATGCCTTCTTCGGTTTTAGATAATAAAATACCTCATTCCATTTTATTCCCTCATGAACCACTTCATCCTTTACCTCCGAAAGTTTTCTGGTCTACATGTTTTGTTCATAATTTCAGTTCAGTCCGGACAAGCTTTCTCCTAGATCACATAAATGTGTTTTCTTAGGGTTTACAAGATCACAAAAAGGATACAAATGTTTTTCTCCTTCTCTTAACCGTTATTTTGTGTCAAAAGATGTCACCTTTGATGAGTTGTCTCTTTATTTTAAAAGTCAAACTTCACCTCTCGTCTCCATCCAATCTTGTCAACACTCCTAATACATTTAATGTTCCCGTTGTTTGTGACCCTCTAATTGTGTCTTCTTCACCATTAGTTTCGCTCCGCAGCTTAGCTTCTTCTCCACCGCCTCTTCGGATTTATAGTTCTCGAAACCAATCACAACCACCACCATGTGACTCTACTCAAGTGCCAACTACTCTGTCTCCTCCGGATCCGACACATGAGTCCGACCTTCCCATTGCCCTCCGAAAAGGTATTCGTTCTACACGTAATCCCTCTCCCCATTATATTGCTTTGAGTTATCATCGATCGTCATTACCTTTTTATACATGTCTTTCCTCTATTTCTTCCGTGACCATTCCAAAAACCGTCTCGTGAAGCTTTAGCCCATCCTGGTTGGCGTCAGGCCATGTTAGATGAACTAAGTGCTCTTCATAATAGTGGAACTTGGGAATTGGTTCCGTTACCGTCCTGGGAAATCTCGTTGTTGGTTGCAGGTGGGTGTTTGCTATCAAAGTTGGACCCGATGGTACTATTGATCGCCTCAAAGCTCGTCTTGTGGCCAAAGGTTATACTCAAATTTTTGGGTTGGATTATGGAGATACCTTTTCCCCGTGGCAAAGATGGCTTCGTTCGTTTATTTATCGCCATGGTCGCTCTTCAACAATGGCCTCTTTATCAACTGGATGTTAAAAATGCTTTCCTCAATGGTGATTTGCAAGAAGAAATATATATGGAGCAACCTCCTGGGTTTGTTGCTCGGGGGAGTCTTCCGGGATGGTATGTCGTCTTCGCAAATCCCTATATGGCCTAAAACAGCTTCCTAGGGCTTGGTTTGGAAAGTTTAGCAAGGTTGTTCAACAATTTGGTATGACTCGGTGTGAATCGGATCATTCTCGTCTTTTATCGACACTCGAAGTGCTCGGATGTGTTTACTTGATAGTATATGTTGATGATATTGTTCTTACAGTGTAGTGACAACCATGGCATCTCTCGATTGAAACAACATCTTTGTCACCATTTTCGGACCAAAGATCTTGGCAAACTTAGATATTTCTTGGGTATTGAGGTAGCACGATCCAATGATGGTATTGTTATATCTCGGAGGAAGTATGCCATAGATATTTTGGAAGAAACTGGGTTGATGAGTTCAAAGTCTCGTTGATACACCCATGGATCCCAATACTAAACTTCTACCAAATCGAGGGGAGCCTATATCCGATCCTGAGCAAGTATAGAAGATTGGTTGGAAAATTGAATTATCTTACGGTTACTCGTCCCGACATTTCCTTTGCAATCAGTGTGGTAAGTCAATTTCTTAATTCACCATGTGAAGATCATTGGAATGCGATCATTCGTATCTTGAAGTATATTAAAGGATCTCCTGGAAAAGGATTGTTATATGCTTCTAATAACCATACAAGAGTTGTTTGCTACTCGGATGTCGATTGGGCGAGATCTCCTTCGGATAGAAGATCTACATCCGGATATTGTGTCTCCATTGGTGGTAACTTGATTTCATGGAAAAGTAAGAAACAAAGTGTTGTGGCAAGATCCAGTGCGTAAGCAGTAATATAGAGCTATGGCCTCAGCTTCTCCGTGAACTTGTTTGGCTCAATCAATTGCTTAGAGAGTTACAATTTGGAGATGTCACTCAAATGACACTTGTGTGTGACAATCGAGCCGCTCTTCATATTAGTTCTAATCCTGTCTTTCATGAGAGGACCAAACACATTGAGATTGACTGTCATTTTATTCGAGAAAAGATTATGTCTGGAGATATCAAGACCGAGTTTGTTAACTCAAGTGATCAGTTAGCGAGATATTTTTACTAAATCTTTACTGGGTCCTAGAATTGATTATATTTGTAACAAGCTTGGCACATACGATTTGTATGCTCCAGACTTGAGGGGGAGTGTTAGATATTGTTTATATATTATTTGATATTGTTAAGATATTGTTAGATATTGGTAAACACAATATCAAACAATATCTTCTGTTTATTCTGTTACTTTCAGTTACTCTTTTAGTTGTATTTCTCTACTATAAATAGACCACCCTATGTGTGATTTATACACAAGGGAAATTAATTCCAAACTATATTTTCTTTATATTCAACAAAATGACTTACTGACACTCCACTCAACTGATTTTTTTTCTTCAACTCTTACCTTGTCTTAAGAGACATAAATGTTCCAGCACAAAACAATAATGTGATGGAAATATGAAAAAATCCAAATTTCTGGGAATGAAACAACTGGGCCAGAGCCAGAGGAACATATAATATAACGTGCTTTATTACAGCAGACTTAATATGTTTAGGAATTTCCTACCCTTTTACCAAGTTGATAAACATAATATCAGCTTCAGATAATTGTTTTTTAAATCATTACTTAATTTGTCTATTTGGTTCCCTCTAACAAAGAAGAGTAAAGCTACTCTTGATCAAATTCATGGAAATAATCAATATATATTTTATTGTAGCAATTTTCGATGTAACAGCATTAAAAACCTTGAGTGCACCAATGCACTTAAGAAGCCAACTTTATTACATTACTGCTCCATTACCTAAGGTCCCAACAATATGTATATCCAACAGCTGATCCTGCGAACAATAGCTGAGAGGAGGGATTGAAACACATGGTCCTTATGCCTGTGAGACAAACATTGAATCAGATTCACTTTCTGCACCAGAAACGTATATTGCTTTGGTTAAAACTAATCATGACAATCCATCGCATACAAAAATAATATCCTCAACATATAAAGGGCAACAAAATATTTGACCAAATATAACTGGTCCACCAAAAAATTAGCACATATAAACTTCAACTAAAATACCATAGGCCCATAAGTACTGGGGTATAACAATACAACCATGTTAGCATACAGGACAACAGAAGTGCTAACCATGCACCTGAAAAAGTGAAGAAAAGTTTTGTCGCAAAATTAAGTGCTGAAGAAGAGGGGGGAAAAAGCCATGGGATTGACTGTGTGAAATCAATTGGCTTTAACCAGTTGCTCAAAGAACTCAAATTTGGGAAGATTACACAAATCAAAAGGACATTCAAGTGTGATAATCAATCTCCTTGTATATCTCTATGAGTCAACAATTTCGTGAGGACCAAACACATTGAGATAGATTATCATTTCAATAGGAGATCTTATTGATATAAGAACCATCATTCGCTTTGTTAAAAGAATTACCAACTAACATATGCTTTCACCAAGTCTCAGATAAATCAGATATGCAACAAATTTGGTGCATATTACTTATTTGCTCTAGCTTGAAGGGCAGGGTTGGAAAATATGGGCTAACAAATCATGTAATTACAGTAACTTGGGTAATTGTAACATTTATATTTATTATCTCTTTTGTGTGTATAACAGCTGGTATAGTTTAAACTCACAGAACCCACCCATTTTCTCGTTTATCTCTTCCCTTAACATTAACCATAAAAGACCAATTGAAAAGGATAAATGGCTACCTCTGGCATCACTTGACCTAAGTGTTGCTACCAGCTGAACAGAGGAAGGATCTGATATTGTTATACTCCCTGAAGTGGAGCCACTCACTATCAATTGATCTTCACCCAAACATAAACATGTTATCGGTACATGGTGCATTCTGCAGATACCAAGTTGAACACATCACGATTACATGACACCTTTAAGTTATTAATCAAGCAGAATATATGAATCAACGTACAAGAACATGGTTATTAATTTGTATATGAGTGGGATTATGTGTTTTAAGCCACCAAAAAAGATGACTGCACCCTTCCTTTTCAAGCACTATTGTTGATAGGAACTTGGGTATTATGAAGTGTCTAAGTTTCACATCGAGTAGTGTGGGATATGCAGTGAAGTATTTAAGTATGTGATTCTTCCCCCTTACTAGCTAGTTTTTGAGGATGAGGTTCACAAGTGCTTGGGAATATTATCAAATATGCAATTCAAGTTCAGAATCTTTTCTTGGTAAACTTAAAATGTTGCTGAGCAGTTTTGAACAGAAATCAAAATAAGAAAACCTACAAAATACCTTATTATTTGAGAACATTTCTTACTGTACATGTCAAAAACACGAACAGCTCCATCATCACATCCAACCATAGCTTCTGGGTCAAAGTAACTGAAAGCACAGAACAGAAAGAAGCTGTCAGATATCATGAGTAAATAGCTATTTTGTCTTACTTCTGTTGAATAAGATCATCTTCGGCTGTAAAGCTTTTGTAAAGCTACTTTTATTGTATCTAGTATATCAAAGGCTGTAGCCTTTATCTCTGATTTTTGAGAGTTGTACTTTCCATTATTTAGACTTGTATATATAAATATAAATCGGTGAAGAGCAAAATAACTCACTGATTTTCCAAGTCTAAAATTCTAAACTTGCTATCTGAGCAAGTCTGATCCCACTATACTACACTCACCGTAGGTCGCTGTCCGCCATCAGAGACCTTTTAATAGACATACATCTTAAAAGTCCTGGAGTTCAACAAGAATTGATTGATATCTGGGCTTATAGCATGACTTTTAACAGGAAGTCTCAGCTTTAACCATCAAGGGCCTTGAATTGATAATTTTGACGCTAGAACTAGGTCTTTCATCGAATTTGTTGTAGCTCAAGATTGAGGTCATGTAGTGTTTCATACATTTCTCGAGAAGCCTTTGATTTTCCTTGGAATAAACAACGTCAAATTATCTTCTTCTAAACGGTATGTTGGTACGTCCTTATCAAAAGGGGGCATTCGTCCTTCCAGAATCAAAGATAGCCAAAGTTGTATGAACCAAATAGGTCTCGAGAGGTTGTCACTAGGTTTTGAAGATTGAAGTTTGACAGCCTCTTGAATAGGGATGCCAAAACGGGCAAGTCTATCTCATTTTGACCCACTAAAAACAGGGTGGGACGGACAGGCCCGCCATAGTCACCCCGTCCTGCCTTTAGCCCGCCAAATTGGCGGGTTAGGCAAGACGGGCCAAAATAGGCTAAAACCACCAACCCGTCCCACCATTTTTTAGGCGGGCTGGCCTGGTGGGCCTAGCCTATTTGCCATCCCTACTCTTTAAAGGCATAGTAGACACGGACCTACAATAGTAGACAAATCAAAGGTTTTCCTTTGTGTAGCAAACAAGCTAAGTTATAGTAGTTAGAGGTAACTTGAATAGACCTCCAGTAAAAATGCCACTTGTTTGACTTCTGGAACAGCTATGACAGAGTCTTCACTACTGTTATTTACGTTTTGGGTCAAGTCAATGTCAGCATCAGTATCCATACTTACCTTGAATGAACTTACAGGGTACTTTCCACCCAATGGTTTTAAGCCCGTGATTGCAGCAACGTGGATGAGGGTTGGGGATAGAGGTTTGAAAGGTAGTCCAAGGGCGCATAACTAACTCTTTCATCATTCAGGAATGTGGTATGGGGTTGGATGATTCCAATAGGACATGAATCTCAAGGTCTCTATTATTTTGATGCACAACCATTTGTATCTTGTGTTCCGGTTTTTCCTCCTAAGCTATAATAAACTCTAATATTCATACATAATAAATGTAATAAATCTATATAAACTCATCCGTTCTATATTCAGACACACATTATTCAATCCAATGTTTCTGTGTTGTCTATTTTAACAGAGTTTATTTCTATTAATAGGAAATTAATGTTTAGCATAGCTAAAGATGTAGGGTTTATGTATGGTGGCTTATCATTATCAAAGGGAGTTCCATATTCTCATTATTCTCTTAAACGTAATTCAATCTGATTCTGAGTGATTATAAACAAAGATGCTGTTGACTGCTTTGCTCGAACAATTCATCAAATATTATTTTTCAACTAAATAGATTGCCAACTTACTTCATGCCATCACTCGACACAAAGAAACCAAGATACTGAGTTATGATAAAAGAATAGGAAGAGAAAAAAGAGTATTGGTTAGTTTACCGCATGCATGAACCTTTTATAAATTTGCCTTCAAGCGAAGGAAATATGCTTCTTTTCCCATTCCGCCTCCATATGCATAAATGACTACCAATTAGACCAACAACCTGAAAATAAAATTTTGAAAAATTTCATAAACAATAAAGGATACAAAACTTACACAAGTCAGCAACTTCAACAAACTTGAATTGAACTCAGCACTTTTTAGACGATTAATAATGTAAATGAAACGATGTAGCAACATAAAATAACACTGGCCTACAGATGATGTGCAGCACAACTAAATTACATAGAAAGTTTCAGACAAATTACAGGCTAATAACATTAGCACAGGTGGTAACACGGGCATTTTACTGTTTAACCTAGAATAGTCAAAGGACTGGTGCCCTACCAGTCCAGATAGGCTCTACGGTGCGTGGTAGGATGTTAGTATCCAATTGCAAGAAGACCCACGTGAAAGTATAGGACTTTGGTGTGGGGATTATAATGCCCCAGGCTCTCCGACATAGCTAGCTTTTGCAGTGCAGTTCTCTCAACATTCTTCTGAATTATATGATTGGTATCAAAGTATTATAGTTAAAGAAATAGAGAAATATGTATTTGTATAAAGTTTACAAGAATCATATCTACTTATCAAAACCTAAAATAATGTTTAGAACTATAGAAATGCAAGATTTAAATAGCATAGTAATTCTGTTGTGCAGTTATTTTTCTGTTATAGTTTCAGCTGTGCAGTTACTTTTCCATTAGAGTTTCTATTGGTTTGTTACCTTGTAGGTCAGAAGTTTGTTAGAGGCAGTAGTTTACAAGAAACTTGTTCATCTTGTCACTGTCACTCCCTTCTCTCTCTATACTGAAATCTATTAAAGGAAAACAAATCTGAGCCGTTTGAGAGTTCAACCCAATTTATGCCTATCTTTCTCTATCACACTTCACTCCCAACTACATCACATGTGTCATCATCATACAACACTTGAAAGCCAGTTAGGAAGTTAGTTGCCTATTCTCCCTCCCAAGTTCTGATTAGGTTCATCTCACCTATTCTTCCTTCTGCTAGTACATCACTGAAGTCTTACATATGAAGGATATGATAGCTAATGAAATGAGTTTACATTTCATAGTAAGGTTTTTCATTCCAAATAAAGAAAACACTTTAAACAGGTTTAGGGTTGTGGAGTGCCATTAATTTCTGATTTGGGTCTATAGGGCTATTCATAGGTTTACAATCCATCAACCCGGTCTCTTTTAGAATATCAAGAGCATATTTCCTTTGAGAGATTACAACACCTTTTTTTGACTGGGCCACTGTGATAGCTAAGAAATATTTGAGACTTCCAAGTTCTTTGGTTTGGAAATAACTACATAAGTGTTCCTTTAATTCGGATATTCTAGTGACATCATTCTCTATAATGACAATATCATTCACATACACTATTAAATAAACACATTTTCCAAGAGATGTGTAACAATAAAAAATTGAATGGTTTGCTTTACTACGTTTCAGCCAAAAGACTTTATTAAGATTTTGTTAAGGTTCCAACATAAAATCAATTAGCAATATGTGAAGTAGCCTAACAGGTATTTACACCATACCACATGACATGAGACAGGCAATGTGGGATTTCCAACACGTCCCATCCAACAAAGTCTACCAAAACAGACAAATGGTACTTTTGACCCACAATGAAAGGGAAACTTTCGGCCCAAGGCAATAACCGAAAAAAAGTTAGGTTTTAGCTATGATACCATGTTAAGGTTCCAACATAAAACCAATTGACAATATATGGAGTAACTTAACAGGTATTTAAATCATACCACATGACATGAGGCAGGCGATGCGGGACTTCCAACATAAAATCAATTGACAATATATGGAGTAGCCTAAAAGGTATTTAAATCATACCATATGACATGAGGTAGGCGATGTGGTATTTCCAACACGCCTCCTCCAACAAAACTTACCGAGCTAGGCAAAGAGTATTCTAAGGGCAACTTTTAGCTCAAGACAACAATAAAGGATATTTTTTACCCACAACGAAAAGACAACTTTTTTGCCCAAAACAATAATTGGAAAGAAGTTAGTTGGCTCAACTTAAGATTAAAATCGAGAGAAAATATATTTTGGAGGGCTTGAAAGACCCCTTTTATGATCTTCTATTTATAACGATAGAAAACAAATACAATGGGAAGACGGAAGATAAAAAAACTGCCCTACACTCTAGAGGTTCCTAACGCACTATAATTACTTTAACGACTTAATAATTATTCTAACAGGCTTGAACAATGGAACTAAATTTTCCAAATCAAGCTGATGGAGATTACTTTAGACCATAGAGCGAATGACGCAACTTACGCACCAAACCAAATTCTCCCTGAGTAACAAACGCAGGAGGTTGCTCCATATAGACCTCATTTAGATCACAATGAAGAAAAACATTTTTAATGTCCAATTGATGAAATGACCAATATCAAATAGCTGCCTGTTAAATGGTAAAAAGTTGATATAATTATGCCTTGAATTGTTATGAAACCACTTAACTTATGTTAATTCTAATATATTTTTCTCCCAATATAGGATGAATTCGAGAATACCTTGAAACAAGAGTAAGGAGCATAATTGGAGTAAAATTGAAAGAAAGAAGAACGCTTAAGCAAATGAATGATGCGAGGCCCGACCCAAATTCTCTTATAAAAAGATAAGTTGTGTTTTGAGAAAAGGAAGCAGTCTTGGAGAAGAGGAGGCACGACTACTGTTAGGGTTTTGTCCAATCTTCATCAATTCTTCACTTCTTCATCAATTAGAGCATTGTAATGGCCAACATGAGTGACTAACTTCATTCTCTTAGGATTCGGTGCACTTCTTTTGAACTCTTTTGTATCATGGTGATATTTTGAAATATTAATCTATGCTTTGATGTTGTTATTCTTATCCTTTATACTTTGGAATGATTTATTCTTGATTGTTTGAGGTATGATTGGAAAATATATCTTGAACCCTATATCACGGTAAGAATATTTGTTACGTTAATTGCCAGGAATGGAATGAATGTATCAATTGCTTAAACACCCTAAACCTAATGCTGGGAAATCTCTTAATTATGTGAGGAATCAACATTTATTAGGTTTTCTTATGAATTTCATGTGCAAGGAATCAATATGGATGATTTGAGTAGGTGGCATCAACATTGTTAGGTTAATTGACGTTCTTAATTGATTTAGCCATTACAAAAGAGGAATAAGGAACGAAGTCAATCCTAAGTACCTTTAATTGATATTTTCTCAACAATTTACAGTTCTTTGTCATTTAATTTCAATTCAACTCTTATTACAAAAACCAATCTGTTTTAATATACTTAATAAGCATAATTGGGAATTTTCATTGAAACTGTTCCTCGTGGGATCGACTTTTATTTAATCGAAATACTATACTGCGATTGATAATTTTGGCACGCTTGCCAATAATTCAACACTGCCATAGGAAAAAAGAAACGAATAGTAGTCATTTGGCCACTGAAGAAAAAGTATTACTGTAATTAAGACCATAGATATGAGTATATCATTTTGCAACCAGATGAGCTTTGAGACGGTCTACTTCACCATTGGGACCAACTTTAATGTTATAAATCCATCCACATCTGACAGTTTTCTTCTCAGTTGGAAGGGGAACTAACTCCCATGCATTATTATGATCAAGGGCCTATAATTTTGTAATCATGGTTTGTCACCATCTAGGATAATCAAGTGCTTCATTCATATTTTTAACAATAGTAATAGAAGAAACTGAGGATATAAAAGAATAATAAGAAGGAGACAATTTGTGATAATTAAGAAAATTATAGATAGGTTGTGGATTACGGGTAGTACGAGTACCTTTACGAAGGACAATGGACCAAGCTGAATCATCATTATCAGGAACTGTGGAAGAGGGCGATGACTAAGAAGTACCTGATGAAGAGGGCTCATCTTAAAGCATGGAACTAGTCACTTGGATCCTGCGTTGTTAAGTAATAAGAGGTAGAACAGATGGAGCAGACGCATCTTGAATGGGAGATGATGGATTAGTAGAAGGATCAAGAGAATCAATCAATGATATAGGGAGGACTTGTTGGATAGACAGAATAGCCAAGACGGATGAAGAAAAGAAGGGAATCTGTTCAAAAAAGGTAACATGGGTAGACATGTAAAATTTCTTGGTTTTAAGAGAGTAGCAACAATATCCTTTTTGAAGACAGGAATAGCTCAAAACAACACACTTGATAGCCTGGGTGGAGAGTTCTGCCAATCCTGAAGTCATACCATGAATAAAACAGATACATCCAAACACACAAGAGGAAATATGAAGAGAGGTTCACGAGGAAAAGGAACGGAATAAAGAACTTTATTGTTAAGAGAAGATGATGACATCTATTAATAAGAAAACAGGTAGTGAGGACAACATCACCCTAATATATTGGCCCCAAGCAATAAGATGTGTGCAGTCTCAACTAAGTGTCTATTTTTTCTTTCAGCAACACCATTTTGCTAAGGTGTGTGAGGATAAGTAGATTAATGTAAAATGTCATAAGATCTTAAGAGTGCAGAAAAATCAGGAGAGAAATATTCTTTGGCATTGTCACTTCTTAAAATTTTAATAACTTTCCAAATTGATTGAAATTTTCATTAAGGAAAGATGTAATGATTTTGTTAGCTAACATAAAGAAATGAGATTAAAAGGATAGGCAGAGATGAGGAGAGCAGATTTTAATTGTAAGGTAGGAGAAAGGGATACTTGGCCAATTTCTTGAGAAGCAACTTTGGATCCATTGGCTAGGGTTATAAGATGATTTTTAGGATAAGAAAGAGAAGAGAATATAAAGGTATTACCAAAAATGTGGTCAGAAGCACCTGAGTCAATAAGCCATGGACTTTGACCCTCCACAGATTGTGAAATGCATGGAGTCGAGGTAAGACTGTTATACTTCAACCTCAAATATTCTTCATTAGAAAATTTTGGGACGAGTCCAGAGACTATTTTTGAGGAGATAAGATAACACACAAAAAGAGAAAATAAAAAGAGAAGAACCCCAATTTGATGGTGGGCAACGGCGACGGTGGCGGCAACCAACTGTGACTAGCAACGGGCCGAATAGAACCAAAACAAGCAGAGCAAGGATAAACCTGCTCTGATACCAACTTGAGAGAAAATAAGAGAAATATTATCATATTTGGGTGTCACTCCACAATCCAAATCACCTCGTATTTATAATAGAAGGTTGTAGAGATACATTGATTAGAGTGGAGATGAAAAGATTAACTCCTTAAAGATACAACTCATAGATAGATACAACTAATTAATACCAATCTAGTAAATATAAATCTTGTGAATCTAACACTAATGAAATGAGTTTACATTTCATAGTAAGGTTTTTCATTCCCAATAAAGTACAGTACTTTAAACAAGTGGCATCATATGATTTATTGATAAAATTAAATTTCTTATCTGCCCATTGTGGAAAATTAAATCCATAAAGCATTCATTCAATTACTTCACCTTGCTCTCATCAAAATCAAAGTCAACTAAAGGGAAGGCATCAGGCACTGAGTGTTCTTCTATGCATTTGAAATTGTCTAATGACCAGAGACGAATAACCTATCATAATGCCACGAAAATAATTAGTACAAGGCCTAATATAGTTAGAAACTATATCACACCTAAAGCAAGTAAAAAAGACTCAAACTAATCATAAAGCATCTATTATATTTATAAAGTACAAATATTGATTCTGTGAGCTAGCCCACTTTTGCTGCTATGCACTTCTAACCAAAAGATAGGATGCAAGGCACAAAGGACTTAAACAAAAGATTCACGTATCTGTGTAAATAAAGAGTAAGAAAAAGCAGATAATCTGACATGAATCTGTATTGCTTTCATGACAAAAATGATTCTTTATAAAGATTAATATTGTCAAGTACAACAGAAGTATAACTTCTACAAAAAATAAAATAAAACCCATTTTTGAAGTTTATCAAATCTACCGATAAAATTTTCTCCAACCACCTAAGAATAGGTAAAAGAAACAAGAACTTCAGAGAAGTTTAAATCCATAAAATAATCTCTTCAATAGGGGTGTCAAAATAGGTTTAGTCCAATGGGTCAACTTTAAAAGTCCGAAAAATAGGTCAAGCTAGACAAAAAAATTTATAACCTAAGTAGACCTAGGAAAATTTTGACCAGATTAGCTCGTAAGCTTATGGGTTGACCCATTGTATAAAATAATAATTATTTTACCAATAAAATAAAAGTAATATTATTTTATTAAAAAATATATGTATAATAAATTAATTTGAAAATATATTTTGTTATATATATATATATATATATATATATATATAATTTAGAAAGAATAATAAACTCTAAACCCTCTTCTTTCTCTTTGTTTATGCTATCACATTTACTTTTAAGGACCAATCATTTAAGACAACATATTTTTAAATGTATTATATTTCCAAAGTATAGTGTATTTCCAAAGTATCATAATATGAGAGTTATGCTAGATAATAAGGCTAGCTTGTTGAAGTAATGAAAATTTGACTCTAAAATTTACTGAGATATACTTGCTAGATGCATTATTAAGCATAATCTCCAATTTAGCTATGTAGAGTACGAGGGAGTTTGAGAGGTAAATAAAGTTTTGAACATTGATTTTAAACCAATTATTAGAAATACTTCAATTCTTATAACGTGTATTTAACTAAAAAGAAAAAGTTAAAAAATGTGTTATCTAATATTTCTCGTAGGATATTTTAAACCAATTACTAGAAACATTTTAATTAGAGAGGTTTATAACATGTATTTAACTGAAAAGAAAAAAAACTAAAAGATGTGTTATCTAATATTTTTAATAGGATATATGTTTGACTTCTTATATATGGACAACTATAACTCCTAAAGATTACATGACTGTAACAACTCATTTTTATGATTTTATACATCTTATTCTATTTTGCCTGAATAGGTTAGGAGTTAATTTTAAATAAACAATGAATGATATATTTTTTTCCAAACAAAATTAAAAAAAATTATATAAATAAAAAAATATTTTTAATTAGGCCAAAAATGGTCCGTTAGCCCGTTGGCCTAACATAGGATCAGGCTAGGCAAAAAATTTTAGCCCGTTTTAAAATATAGGCCACAGTTTTCTTTCTTGGCCCGTAGGGCCAGGTCACGACAAGTTGGACCGCCCATTTTGAAAGCGCTAGATTTTAGCCTTTAAATTCTTTTTGAGACCAATAAATAATCCTCCCCTGCCCCCACCAAACAAAATATAAAAATGAGAGGACAAGATGTTTAGAGTATTATCATCCAACTTCCATAAGCAGAACCAGAGGTCTGATAATCTCTATAAAAGACAATAAAACAACTTGTGCAATGCCAGGAGCTTAGGAAAGGAAACTTTATAAGGATCAGAAATTGGAAATGTAGGAGATAAAATACCACCCATACCTTATCACCCACACCAGTAACAAGCATGCCCATTTTCATTCGGCACTGAGCAACCCTAAGGAAAGTATTAAACATCAATATAAATCTTGCATGTTGACTTGATGAGCACTTATAACACAGGCGCACACAAAAGGGCATGCAATAATGCACTGGATATGGATTAATCAATATTATAGCCAACGGACTCATCAATATTTATGAGAGCCCATGATGATTGCAGCAGATGTAATGAGAGCATGGGACTAGTGCAAAAGTTTAAGCAAAACTTACGGGGGTTGTTTACTAACCAAGAACCTCAGAACAATCATGCCAAATAATTTCCCCAGTATTAACAATCACTTCAGTAAAATTTAAAAACTGATTAAAATTTTAGTTCGAAAAACATGAATAATAGTCAACAGAATGTTAAAGCTCTATTTAAGGATTACTAAATGAAAGTTAAAACACTTACGGACTTCCTCAAAAATACACAGATCCACACTAGTAAACCATCAATTCCCAAATACTGAATCAACAGCATTTGATTCAACCATTTACTATCTAGTGATAAAACACCATTTAATGAGTAATGCCTCCCAAATGAATATTGAACCCAATGCTACAAAAATATCCCGTCTAATAAGGTTAAAATGACACACCATAATGTCTAGACTAGCTCATTTTATGTAAACGATGTGTAAAGGTAAATTTGTACAATCTATTAAGGGTACTAGTCTGTTAGAAATTTGTTTGCATTATATTGAACATTTACGTGCTTTAATTGTATCTTTTTCAAATCACACAATTACGCAACAGTTTATTCTACGGAAGTCCTCTCATTCTTCCAGATCTATGATCTTTGGTCCTAATTTATGTGATAACATCACTGAATCAATTATTATGCAAAGTAAAGTGATTGAAAACATTACTAAAGTGTAAAGGGAAGATTTAGTTACGTAGTTGAATGGCCCTTCCATTGATTAACGTAAAAGCCACCACACTGAAGAGCCAATCTATGCCGCTCCACAGCCACCTCCCCTAAAATCACCCTCAAGGGCTTTTCCGTAAATTCAGACCAATAATTCTTCATGTTCCTCTCACAAAACTCTCGCAGCGACCGGGACTCGATGATGGCATTCCTTCAAGAACATGCACGCGCGAGTTTCAGAAAGGCACTTGAGAATTGAGAATGGTTTGATTGAAATTGCTTGCATAAGGAAAAGAGAGAGTGAAGTACCAGAGTTTGCAAACGAGGGAGCAGCGAATGAGGTCAAACATGTCGAGGAAAGCGAAGATGGTGCACACGATGTCAGGTTCCAGAGACAGTATGTTGGTCGGAATTTGCCACCGTCTTTTTATTTGGCCGGTGGTCGCCGTAGAAGGACCATTCTTCGCCGCCGTGAAACTCCGTTGCTGTTTGCTCATTGCTTTGTCAGTGACAGAACACCGAGCAAAGTGTCTGAAGGAGGAATTAGAAGGACAATAAATGGGAAGAAACTAGTAGCCTTAGAAAAAGAAAAAAATATCAATTTATGTGGTGTGGAGCAAATCATATCATTAACTACTCATAAAATTATATAAATAATTTACATATATATTTAAAATTATATAAAAAAATTGCATAATATTTTCATAACAAGGTAATTTTATAATTATAAATTTATATTAATAAAATATTTGTGATGAATCTATTTTTCTTGTACGTTCCTTGAGAATTTTAGGGATATTTATTGAGTTGGATAACGATCGGTTTCAATTTCATCTGGAACTCAATCTCTTATATATTAGAGGATATATTTTACATGTTGAACTTAAGATTTAATTCAACTTATTATTTTAAAATTATTAAATAATTTTAATATTAATGATAATGATAATAATAATAATAATAATAATATAATCATTATTTATTTTATATAATTATTATATTAACTTAATTTTTGAAATATAAGATTATCAAATTATTCAAATGATAATTAATTTATTTCTTATTTAAAAATTATTCTAAAATAAAAAATATATTTTATTTATAAATTATGATAAAAAATAAAATTAAATATAAATTTATTTTAATTTAATTCTACTTTTTTTATTAGGTTAAATAATGAAAATAGTTAATATCATTCCATCCATAACTCCTTATTTGTTTTTTTAATATCAAAATAAAAATATTATATATATATATATATATATATATATATATAATTTTTTACCATGACTTTTGCTTGTGATTTTATTTTACACGTATATGAAAAATGATCATTGTTGGTCTACATAGCAAAACAGGTTAGATTGGACAGAGTCAAATTTAACAAATTAGTTCTTTAGTATGTTATAAATATAACGAAGTTAGTATTCACAGTCCGTCAATTTATCCTATCGTGTCAACTTGTAGGGTAGGACAGTCAGCCTATAATTAGGCATGGCAACGGCCGGGGACAGGTTTTGTCTCTTCGATTCTCACCCTCGACTTTTTTAACCATCTCCATCCTCACCTTCGATCCCCATCGGGGTTAGAAATTAAGTCTTCGTTCCCGTCCCAATTAAGTTTCGGTTCCCGCTTCAGTCCCATCCCCGATTTATATTATTTGTTAAAATTAATTACATTTATAATAAATTAATTTTACTATATATTTTTATATAAAAATAAATATTTATAATTTATAATTATTATTAATTAAATATATATTTAAATTTATTATATTTATATTAAAATATGTATGTAAAAGAAATATTTAATCATTTTTTATTTATATATATATAGAATATTTATAACATTATTATTATTATTATTATTATTATTATTATTATTATTATTATTATTATAACACTCGTATTCAAATATTTGAATACTTATAACATTATTATTATTATTATTATTATAATATTGTATTCAAACATTTGATTATATATATAAGTTAATTCATTTTTTAAGTTGTCATTTAAAGATATGAAATATATAGTTTATAAGAAAATATTTAATAAGTTAATTCTTATTTAATTAGTTTTAAGTAATAAAAGTTTAAATTATCAATTCTTTTTAATATTTTAAAATATAATTATTTTATTAACATAAAATTTGATATATGATAAATAAGAAAAAAATTATGACATAATAAAACCTAATAAATATAAATTATAAATAAAATAATATTAGTTATTACTAAAATTTATGTAAAATATTTAGAAAAAGATAAAGAAGAAAAAAATTTACTTTGTGTTCATCAAATTGGTTGAAAAGATTGAAAAAAAAATTATGAGAGAAATTAAGGAAATTTGAAAAACGAGAAAGATAAAAGAGAAAATAATGTAATAAATTAATTTATATAAAAGATTAAAAGAGATAAAAAATATTAAAAAATAGGTAGAAGAAAAATAAAAATGGTGAAATATAAAAAAAATGACCTTATATGTAATAGAAATAGAAAAGGAAATATTTTTAAATTATTAATATTTTAAAATTTAAATTTAAATATAAAGTCGGGTCGGGGACGAGGTGGGGATTGCATTACCCATCTCCGTCCCCGACTTTTAAAGCGAGGAAAACCCGAACTCGCCCCTACCCCGGTCAATTCGGGTTTTCCCCGTCAAACTCGGAACGGGGATAAGTCGGTCTCCACATGTACGAGTTTAATTGTCCTCCCTACCTCCAACCAGCTCAATTGATAAAATATTTTTTTTATATATAATACAGCTTAACCACAAAAGCAAAATATAAATTTATGAAGCATAAGTTCCTCTCTTTCCTCCTTCATAAGTAAAATATAAATTTCTAAAGCATAAGTTTTTCCCTTTCCTCTTTCATATTGAACATTAATTGTTCTTATTCTCAGTTACTTGAATTGATCGAGCGAGAATTATTCATGGAAAAAATACTATAAAATCTTATAAAATAAAAAAATATATAATGTAATTTTTGTTTTAGGTGTTTAAAATTTTCAAGATAAAAAATAGATATTTTATAAATTTGAATGTTATATATTTGTTATTATAAAAAATTTATCTTAATTTAATTGTTTTGAATTATAATTTCTCCATCTAGTATTTAATATATATTATTAACTTGAAATATATAAATTGAATAATTGATAAATAATAATTTTATTATTAAATTTATTAAAAAATATAATTTAAAAATGAGAAATAAATTCATTTAAAACAATTATAGAGGTCAGCCGATTGACAGAACTGACCAAGATTTCCAGCCCAGCGGATGAGTCTACTCGACACTATTTTTGACGAGCCGAAACCAAAGTGAACGTGTTTATCCCTACTCACCTGTTTTCATCCTTAGTTAAGGACATTACTACTTTTGTTTAGTCACACCCGGCATCATCCATAATCAGGAACATATAATGTGAGATGAAAGCTTATTAGAGACATGAAGCTAAAATAATGATGGTTAATTATATTTTGCGTCTTGTATTTTTTTAAATTATTTTTTATCCCTATACTATTTCATGTTATAGATTAATCTCTAGGAAAAATTATTAAATATTCTTTATTAGTAAATAAAAATAACATTTCATTTATGTGTTAAAGATAATTTCATTGTCGAACTTACTTATAAGCTATTATAGGTCATGTTTTTAAATACTACTAAATATACTAGTTTGGTTTTAATTCTAGAAGAGGCTTTTCATGAGCTACATATAAGGTTATGAAGTAAAAAAACTCGCAAATCTGGCTTCATAAAGAAGATGCATTTGAGGTTTGTTGGCACTCCTGTTGGCTTGGTTGGTTAATGTAAAATTATTTATGCTATGAATCCATATAATTAATTACATAATTCAATAGAAATAACAAACAAACAAAGCCTTCATGTAGCACGTGACACTAGGTCTAGTTTTCATGTAAAACATAACGAAAAAAACGTTATAAAAAATATTATCATTTATCCTTAAAAATTACTCTACTAATAGATAAATTAAAAAATAATAATAAACACAAGAATATAATGTAAAAAATTCAAAAATTAGAAAAAAATTACGATCGTTATCTAATGATAACCAAAAAATAACATTATGTGATTTTTTTTTTGTAAAGAATAACCAAAGCAGATCGAAAACTTAAAAAGAGAAAGATTTTATAGAGTGAATTGAAGTGTAATAGCACCACTCGTCAAAGATAAGTAGTGCTGGCAATAAAAGAGTTGCTCGTGAACAAACAAGCATAGGTATTATAAAGAAAGGGAAATTTTGAATGTGGTAAAATTTAGGGGCAGCATAGGTTTGTAAAATGTTTGAGTTGTAGGCGAAGAAAGTCGTGGTGGGGAAGAAGGTTGGGCTTAAAAATATTAGGGCATTGTGAATTGTGAGGATATTATAATAGTAATGGAGAAGATACACTATTAAAATATTAGCCAATCACATACTACCATCAATCAAAATCTCTAAAACCTTGGATTATGATATTTTTCACTAATAAATTATTCAATTTTTCTATTTATATCGTAAACTTCAAACTTATATTTGAATTATAAACAAATCTTAGAATTCAAACCAGATAAAACAACTCAACAAAAAATAGTGAGATAACCATTCGATATCATTTGTCATATGCTCAAATTTGGTGAGGTAAGTGTTCATTATACCTTGTTATGAGTTTGAAAAGACTCAGCGAGGATCATCATAGTAGAAAGTAGCAAGATGGGTTTCAAGCGCTTGAAGAAGCAAAGACACGACTATGTTGTAAGAAGAAAAGTCTCATATTAGAAAAATCTTAGTTTGATGCTTATTTTTCTTACTATAAAAGAAACACAATGTTTACCTTGTAAAACTCACCAAAATCACTTCCTTTTCTTTCTCTTGCTGCTTTAGTATTTGAGAGATAAATTAAGAAAGAAAAATAGTTTCTCCTTTTATGTTCTCTTAGAATTGTTTTTCCTTTATTTTCAGGAGAGTGTATTATTGTTTTCTCCTTGGAGGTAGAAAGATGGGTTATAATTTTTTTCATTAGTGAAATTACTCGTTTGCCTATTACTGATATTTTTCTCATCTTTTTATTTTAGTTGTGTGTGTTTATGCTTTTGTTTGATATCTAATAGTGGTATCAGAGCCACTAGGTTGTGATATTGATTTTCTGTTACATAGTCATTAGAATAGTGTTGAAGAAAATTCTTACTATGCTTTGTAGTTGCGGTTAATATGATCTTCCACATAAGAAAAAAATTATTCTTGTTACTGAATATTATTTGGTAGTGTGATAGTGCATGTCTAGTAAAAGTTTTGGCAAGAAAAAAACTTGGTATTTAAGCGTGTCCATTAGTGACTCACCTCTCTTTCCTGGGAACTTACATGGTGTACTAGTTCACGGTCTACCGTTGTTATTCCAATAGGCAATATAAGTCAAAGTGAGGATTCCATAAGTCGGTTTGGAACTATGACAACAAAATATGAAATAGAGAAGTTCAATGGGAGTAATTTTTCATTGTGAAAATTAAAGATAAAGGCAATTTTAAGGAAAGATAATTGTATTGATGCAATTGCGGAAATAACCGTAAAACACACAGATGAACAACGATGGAAAGAAATGAACGACAATATTATTGCGAATTTTACTTATCAATGACATATTCGATTTTATCCAGTGTTGCGAAGAAGACTACTACGAAGAAAATTTGGGATACCCTCATTAAACTATATGAGGTGAAGTCACTTCACACAAGAATATTCTTGAAGAGAAAACTCTATTCTCTTCAGATGAGTGAGTTCACATCAGTGACACATCACATCAACCATTTGAATACCTAGTTTGTCCAACTATCAGCAGGAGATTTCAACATAGTTGAAAATGAACGTGCAGAACTTCTACTTCAGAGTTTACCTGATTCGTAAGATCAACTCATCATCAATATTATAAATAATAATATTGATGAGAATATGCACTTTGAGGATGTTGTCGGAGCTATTCTTGAAGAAGAATCCAGACGGATGAGTAAGGACAAAAGTTCCAAACAAGCAGAGACTTTGACAATGATAAAAGGAAGATCAATGGAACGTGGCTCGAGTAATGATAGATCGAGGTATCGAAATAAGAAAAGTTTTAAAATCAAATACTACTTTTGTGGCAAGAAAGGGCATACGAGAAAAGAGTGTTGGAAGAGGAAGAATGGAGGAAACAACTCTGAAGAATCAACCTCACAAGGTTGTGTTCTAAGTACCTCAGAAGATGAAGATATTTTGGTGAGCGAAACAGTAATTAGCTCTAATGGTGAAAAGGAGTTTCATGACAAGTGGATAGTGGATTCAGGTACAACATGACACATGACTCCGCATCGAGATTGGTTTCACACTTATGAACTATTCTCAGGTGGATCCGTCTTCATGGGAAACAACCATGCATTAGAGATTACTGGAGTTGGTACCGTCAAAATTAAAATGTATGATGGTACTGTTCGCACAATTCAAGGGGTATGACATGTGAAGGACTTGAAGAAGAATCTATTATTCATTGGACAATTAGATGACCTCGGGTGTAAGATTCATGTTGAAGGTGAAATCTTGAAGGTGGTGAAGGAGTTTGGTGGTTATGAAGGCAAAGGGGATCATGACAAATTTGTATGTTCTGCTTGGAGATATGTTGCAAGAAGCGACAATAAGTCAGGAAGATGCAGTGATCATATGACATCATAGAATTGGTCATATGTTAGAAAGTGGTATGAAAATCCTTGCAGAATGTAATCTCTTACCCGGGCTTAAAGAGGTTAGTTTACCCTTTTGTGAGCATTGTGTGATAAGTAAGCAACATAGATTGAAGTTTGCTAGAGTGATTGTTAAAAGTAAACACATATTGGACTTGATTCATTTTGATGTGTGGAAATCGCCAATACTATCCCTCGAAGGAGCAAAATATTTTGTATCATTCATACTCCAGGAGATTGTAAGTGTACCCTATCAAGAAGAAGTCAGATGTGTTTTCACAATTCAAAGAATTCAAAGCACAAGTAGAACTTGAAACTGGGAAAAGAATTAAGTGCTTGAGAACAAATAACGTTATGCAGATGGAGAATTTTTAGCATTTTGCAAGCAAGAAGGTATTATCAAACAATTTTCTGTCCCACATACGCTTCAGCAAAATGGTATAGCAGAGCGGATGAATAGAACTCTCCTGGGAAGAACTAGAGCTATGTTGCGAACAACTAGAGTAGCCAAGTCTTTTTGGGCAGAAGCGGTTAAAACTGCCTATTATGTTATAAATCAGTCACCGTCAACTGTCATTGATTTAAGCACACCAATGGAGTTATAGAAAGGTAAACCAGCTGATTATTCATCCTTACGTGTTTTTGGTTGTCCTGTGTACGTGATGTACAACACTCAAGAAAGAACAAAATTGGATCCAAAGTCCAGGAGATGTATCTTATTGGGTTATGCTGACAATGTGAAAGGGTATCATTTGTAAGATCTCACTTCCTACAAGTTTGTTGTTAGTAGAGATGTAGTTTTTGTAGAAAATGAACTGCAAAGTGAGCAGACAAATGACAGCTTAATAAAGGACAAGGTTATAGTACAAATAGAAAAGAAGTCTTCGGATGAAGTCATGATGCGTATTGTCTTCTAAATGAAAAAGGAGAACCTTCAACTTTTCAAGAGTGTATGAGTTGTTCAGATGCTTCTCTGTGGATGACTGCAATGCAGGAAGAAATTTAGACTCTTCATAAAAACAAGACATGGAATCTTGTGGAATTTCCAAAAGGTCGAAAAGTCATTGGTTATAAATGGGTCTATAAGATCAAGAGAGATAACAATGATCAAGTAGAAAGATATCGTGCTAGATTGGTGGTAAAGGGATATGCTCAGAAAAATGGTATTGATTTCAATGAGATATCCTCGCCAGTTGTCAGATTGACGTCCATCAAAGTTATCTTGGTTATGTGTGCTACATTTGATTTACATCTTAAACAATTGGATGTAAAGACTGTTTTTCTTCGTGGAGATCTTGAAGAGAAAATTTATATGTTCCAACTAGAAGGCTTTAAAGAACAAGAAAATTTGGTTTGCAGGTTGACTAAATCTCTATAGGTCTAAAACAGGTGCTCATATGTTGGTATAAGAGATTTGATTCCTTCATTATTTGTCTTGGTTACAATAGACTGAGTTCAGACCATTGCACATATTAAAATAGGTTTGGTGATAATGATTTTGTTATCTTGTTATTGTATGTGGATGACATGTTGGTGGTAGGCCCCAACATAGATCGAATCCAAGAGTTAAAGGCACAATTGACTAAGGAGTTTGACATGAAGGACTTGGGACCAACAAACAAGATTTTAGGGGTGCAAATTACAGAAACAGAAAAAATAGAAAGGTTTGACTTTCTCAGAGGAATTACTAACTGAAAATCTTGCGATGCTTCAACATGCAAGATTGCAAGCTAATTTCCACCCCACTTCCTATCAATTGTAAGTTATCCTCAAGTATGAGTCCCAACAATGAAGCAAAGAGGATGAAAATGTCTCGAGTACCGTATGCATCAACAGTGGGAAGTCTTATGTATGTCCTGATTTGTGCAATACCAAACATTGCACAAGCAGTGAGAGTAGTTAGTAGATTCATGGTAAATCCTGGTGGAGAGCATTGGAGTACTATAAAGAGGATCCTTAAATACATCAAAGGAACCTCAAGTGTTGCATTATATTATGGAGGATCACAACTAGTTGTCAGAAACTATGTTGATTCAGATTTTGCAGGTGATCTGAATAAAAGAAGATCTACTACTGGTTATGTGTTTACAGTTGCAGGAGAGACAATAAATTGGTTATCCAAATTACAGGATGTTGTAGCTCTGTCTACCACAGAAGCTAAATACATGACAGCCACCTAGGCATGTAAGGAAACTATTTGGATTAGGAAGATAATGGAGGAACTCGGACACAAGCAACAACAAATTGTTGTGTATTATGACAGTCAAAGTGCCTTGTACATTACAAGGAATCCAGCCTTTCATTCCAAGACAAAACACATAGAAATAAGATATTATTTTGTTCGAGAAGTAGTGGAAAAGGGTAGTATGGATATGCAAAAAATTCACACGGATGAGAATCTAGCATATGTTATGACAAAGTCGGTTAGTGTTGACAAGTTTGTATGGAATCAATCCTCCTATGGCCTAGCGAAAAAAATAAACAACATGGATGACAAGAATAAAACAAGCATAGTGTGAAGATTTGATTAATTTAATCAAAATCTTCAAGTGGAAGATTGTGAGAAGAAAAGTCTCACATCAGGGAAATCTTAATTTGATTTACTTTTCTTACTATAAAAGGAGCACAGTGTTTACCTTGTAAAACACACCAAAATCACTTCATTTTCTTTCTCTTGCTACTTTAGTACTTGAGAAATAAATTAAAAGAAAAAAATAATTTCTTTTTTTAGGTTCTCTTAGAGTTGTTTTTCCTTTATTGTCAGAAGAGGATGTTATTATTTCCTCTTGGAGGTAGAGAGAAAATTGTAATTTCTTTCATTAGTAGAATTACTCATTTGCCTATTTTCAGTATTTTTTTCATCTTTTTATTTTAGTTGTGTTTTTGTGAGATACCTAACATACATCCATTATGGTACATCCATTGGTACCAACTCAAGGCTAGATAGACCCTCCATGTTGAAGGAAGCAACAGATAACCTTTTCGATTCTGGTGTTCCATGATAATAAAAAAATTGGTAATTTTGAAAAAGCACCCCACCGTGTCAGATCCATCAAAACAGCGAACATCAAGTTTGATATATGATTTATGGATTTTGTGTTGATGAATGGGTGTGGGGTTTGTGGTGATCCAAGGTGGGAAGGGATAGAGTGAATTATGGATAGAGATTAGATTAAGTAGAAAGAAGTGATTGTCCAGTTTCTTCTAATCCCTCCATGGATTTAGGTTGTGTATTGTGGTCACCTACAGTGGCAAAGCTCAACGAAAACACCAAATTGAAAGAGACACAACTAATGTCTAGAATTCAAGGACTAAGCAACCTCCAAATAAGAATGACAATTGTAAATCAGAATCTAGTAACAATAATATCACAACAATAAATATAAATGAATTATTCTTTGTAACCGATTAATTTGCCCAGAGTAATCTCGGTCGGGTCTTATTGTAAGAAGGCAATTTCTCTGCGGTCTCGGTGTTTGGCAGAAGTTGTGTTATCAAATGTAGCATAGCAAAAAGTATGCTTAATTCTTTATCTTCCGGACTCCAACCCATTGAGCAAAATCTACCCACCTACTCACATGTGTTATAAATAATGAGGACACAAAAGTAAGAGAAAGGTTTATGGCACATATGCATAGAGATTAATTGAGCTAAATCAATAATCTTACAGAAGCGAGCCCCAATAGGTATTGGCAGTTCGGACAGTAAAGTATGCTGCGGTTAGTATAGGCTTGTTTCGGTGCAGTAATGGTTCTAGAATTCGTTGCTCAATAATTCCTGCAATTACTTGGTACCTGATAAAAAAGGCAAATCCTTAATAAGAGGTTTTCTTGTTTTTTGACTTTGTTTTGCTAACTGGCGGAGATCCTCATGATCTGCAAATTTTGCACCTGTGATACGATACTACTACTAGTGGATAATTTTTCCTGCTTGAAAACACGGACATGGTTGAAATTACAAGCTTTTCAAGCAGGCACATATTTTGGAATAGCGTACCAGTTTCTCTTCAATGTCAATTGGGTTTTTGTACCAGATTCTGGCATTAAAAGGATTTTCTGGAATCCCATTTTTAATATCACAAAAGGTTCCAATATTTTGCTATCCTTCTTGTTGTATATTCTAGTTCTTCGTTCAATGAATTAGGAATAATTGAACTTTTTGTCCCTATAACAACTCCTTTATAAAACAATTTTCTTTACCAAATGAAAAAATGAAATAAAAAACGACCAATAGTCTGTGGTAACAGAAAAAGGTTAATAGATAGTAGCGACCTGTTTGAAAAAGATATGAAATTTGGAGGGAGCAGAACCTAACTATCAATAGATTTCTTTTACCAAACAAAATAGATGGACAAATCCTAAGACTAATGAAAATAACAGCACGTTTCAAATAATGTCTTCTTAGATTTCAAATGGTAGCACAATAACTATGCACTCCAATCTGTTTTCATAGCAGTTTCCGGTATTTCATCACTAAAATTATGATAACTAATGCAGAAAGTCGGTTTTCAAAATATCATGTGTTTTAATTGGAAAAAACCACACTAGTTTGGTACAAAAATAACACATGAAAATAACTTAAGAGTGCATCATTTATTCGCAACTTCTACTCTCTTGATGGGATGTCCAATACTCTAAAAGCACAGAATAGTAGAAAAAAATGGGGGTAAAACACATTTATAGTAGTTTGCTATGAAAATGGGATACCTGATGTTGCTAATTACAGACATGTAAACTCCATGTGCTAGACTGGTTGATATTATAGGTACATTATCAGCCTGGGCAGCATATGTTTTGTTAACAGCCTTCCGGACATTGATCAATGCATTCGTTATACTTGTACCAACCTGAAAAGGCATTGCCACCAGTGAAATTATAGAAACAGCACGCCCAAGATAAATCTCAAGTCCCGTTTCTTGATGTTATTGTGCTTGTAGAACTTCACCAAGAAATGTGTAATTAGTATAACAGGAACAGTTTCCTCTTGGGAATATGTAGCCTGTATGCCTCATACGAACTAGAATACGACATGCTTGAGAGGAACAGGTGATACAGATATCTCTCAAATAAACTCTTAGTACTTTATGTCCTCTACTGTATTTAATGATGCATCTAAACTTCTTCTTTAATGAATTTTTTATATACTGAAATCTATTTAAGAAGCTATCTACTAACATAAAGTATTTCCATTCAAACGAACCAAGGATCAAACTCCTGTTCACATGGTTAAAGATCAAAGCTATCTACTAACTATGTCACACCATATTACTTCATATACTTCCTTAGATGTTAGTTTCAATGTCTTCTAGGTGAAGAAATTCACTGTCATGACAAAATACAGTCTCAAAACAAGCATTCGGCAGAAAAATTATAGAGTATAGAAAGCAAGTGAAATAGGGAGAAACAGAAAGAAACGTTTTAATTATTTTATCTAAGACCTAAAAGCAAGTACCAACTATCAAAACAGCAAGAAACGTTTTAATTATATTATAGAGTAAGAAAGCAAAGTTAAATCCTTAATCCTAAGACCTAAAAGCAAGTACCATCTGTCAAAACAATGGAACTGGTGCAGGAAGCCTAACCTAAATTATTTTATCTTTTTCTGTATATTTTGAAGATCAGCATAATTGCAATTCTAAGGAGCAAGAGCAAATTTCACAGTGGTGGAATCTTTTTCATTTTGCCAAAAGAAGCTACAACAAGTTAAAAGGTAATTTTGTAAGTAACTAATGTGCTAATTTACCAATGCAGCACTGGTGCCAACAACAAATAGCTTTCCGCCGTTACTCTGCACAAGAGATGGAGATGATCCTCATTTAAAAGGAAACAATTATGTGACTTGCTTAAAATGATCCAACACATACCACTACAGAACCCATTCTTTGTAGAAGGGTATAGGATGTTCCAGGTAAAGCCACCTGTAGAGATTATTAACTACTAATCATATCCCTTGTAACAACTACAACTAAAATTATTACATAAAATAGAGAAATAAGAAATGAAGAAAGCTAAAGAGTGTTAACCATGAAAGCATTATCTGGACAACCATAGAATAATTTAGCAAGGGCTCCAGCACTGACTGCAAGAGGAGGTTTGTGAGAAACAGTTGGTGCAGGAAACCACACGAGTACAAACCCTGTAACAATGCCTGTTACCTAAGATAAATTCAAAAACTGAATTAGGTGGTTACCAATTCTTACATAAAGAACTGAACAGCATACACATTGAGTTCCCCAGAGTGCAAAGAGTTAATTCAAATATGATAAGTAAAAAAGGGAAAATGTGAGACCAGGCTGCTTCAAGGCACGAAAAATGATATTAGCTGTAACTAAAAAAATGTATTTTTCATTTTCAACCACAAGCCTGATATTGATAAGTTGGAACAAATTTATATTTGTTAGATGACTTTATAAAAAATATTATATCTTGGACATTAGCATACCACATTAGCAACAACAATTTCCAGCTCCTTACTGAAATTTTCTTTACGGCGCTCCAATTCTGCAGCGGCCTGAAAGCAACCAGGATATCCATTACAAATTGATCAATTGTATTTGAGAATACACTACAAGTTAATATATTGATTACTTGGATTGGTCATATATATCATTTAATCGTATTAATCTCAGTTACCCTTCAAATGTTTTGGCATTTACATACAATAATGTCTTTTAAACACATTTACTCATAACCCTTCACTATCTCACAACCTTTTATTTTCTTAATTATTATTTCTAACATCACTCTTTAATTAGAAAATTCACAACATTTTTTTTCCACACCATGTTTTGCTCTCAATCTTCCAAAGTCTTCAGATGAACTAGACTTCTTTTTCTTGGCAATCCTCTTTTTAAACTTAAATACTCACTGGACTTCAATTGCTTTATGACCCTCAAGAAGTTTTGGTAACTCCCAAGTACTGTTCTTCTTAGTGACATTAATTTCTTCCTCCATGGCCTACTTCCACCTTAGTCTACCAAAGCTTTATCAAAGGTTAGAGGTTCGCTGTCAATAAAAAGACACAACAAATGCTTTTCATTTTTCTTGGCCTTTCAATTGAACTTGCTTCGGAAGATGGGATTTCATGAATCAAAAGAGTTGGTGCTACAACTTCATGACTTGCCTCAAAATAGGGAAAGAAATCATAGGTGTCTTCTTTTGCTCAATTCCAAGCCTTTTCTTCATCTAATAGTTAATGAACACGTGTTTCACACTTCATCATTAAGCTTGGATATTCTCCCAGCGTCTCTAAGATGGTCAACTCTTGGGTTCACTTCACTTCATGCTTCTTGAGGTGTTTGACCTTGTTGATATTATTTGAAGAAGAACAGTTAGACAAATAAATGGCAGATGAAACAGTTTCAACCCAAAGTTTCATAGACATAGATTTATCTTTCTATCTACATCTGGCCATATTAAGAATGATTCCATTTGGTTCTCTTCCATGCCCATTTTGTGGTGTGCTCCAGGGACTGATATAGGATGACTAATACCATTATTTTCACAAAATTCATTGTTTCTTTGATGTGATTTCACCTTCTCTATCAGGTTTTAAGCCTTGATTACGTAACCATTCTTGTTCTCTTCAAGAGCTTTAAATTTCTTAAAATCAAGAAATACTCAAGTCTTCCTTCTAAAATCATCAAGAAAAAGCAAAATATAATGAATTGCACGAATTGGAAAGATTCTTTTGCTCTTGATTCGACTTCTTTAGGAAAATTTCTTCTTACATGCTTGCTAAGGAGACATGTTTCACACAATCAATTGGAATAATTCATGCGAGGTATTATTCCCTTTCGCCATCTTCTCATCTCTGAAGGACATATAGATATAGGCACACGGCCTAGATGTCAAATTTATACACACTAATTCAAAACTTGCCATGGTGTCTCTCATGCACTTATTCTTTTCTCTTTTATATTTTTTCTTTTTTTAATTACTTTTTCATAGGTAACCCAAAAATAAAAATTAATTATTTTTTAAAATTATATTTTAAAATAATTTAAAATATATTTAAAAAATTATTTTAAATAATAATATAATGTAGTTCATATCGAAATGAAATAAACCCTTCAATATATTTTGAATTATTCTAAAATGAGATGAATATTTTAAAAATTACAAATAATTTGTTTAAATAATTATTAAATATTATTTTTTATGATAAAAGTGGTAGTTTTAATATTTTTCATAAATTTATGATTTTCGATTCTAAGATATTTTTAAATATTTAATAAATTACTGATTACATAATCAACTATTTTTTATATTAATTAAAATTAGAATTTCAAAGTTTAAAAATAATTAAACATATTATTAATAAATGAATATATCCTCAAATAAGTCATAATATTATCATATTAAAAAAATATTATAAATAATTAAAATTTATAAGACTTTATTAAAAAAACAATATTATTTCTCTTCGTCTTTTCTTCAAGCACCATGATGTTCTTCTTATAACCGTACATGTATTACTTGCTCTTATATACGCTACAAGCTCATATAATCATTTTCTTTATTATTAATTGTTAAGAGAGTGTGACTCTTCGTCTCCTTCCTCATCAATAATATTAGTTTATTCTTCAACATTGATTTCCTTTCTTAAGAAAAATGACTATACATATCAAAATTGCGTTGATCTCCTCTTTTTCCCCTTTCTTATGACAACCATAATTATGCTATCTTTTAGTTTTCTCCCATTAAGATTTTTTTCCCAAAAGGTTATCATGTCATTTTCTAATCTTTCTTCATATGTTTGAGGTCCCCCCTATGGACTCTAAGTCCTTTTTACTCTCATATTGCACAAATAAAAAAATCTTCTCTATCAATCAAACATCTTTTTTATTCTCTCCACAACAATTCATTTGATTCACTATCATTATCACCCTATCATCAAAATCTTAAATTGACTTGACGTCCTTCATATGCAAGGATTCAAACTCTTCGTAAAGAATTTATAGATGCACCTTCGTCTTGTCAACATCTTCAAGGAAGTTCTTCAAAATCCCGCACACTTATTTAGAGCTGGATGCATTGGACACTATCTCAAACATCTTTTCAGGTAAACCTTGTTAAATGAAAATACGTGTTTGTTGATACTTCTTCTTGCAAAGTCTTTTTTTTTTTTTTTTTTTTTCAAAGTATACACATCTTCAGCTTAGTTCTAACATTTTTCCTTGACCTCCCAAGCAAATTGGAACATAGAAAGCCATTCACGTGATTACACCTCTATTACAATTTACGTGTGAAAACATTCGGATAAACTGCCTTAAAAATTGAGAAATAGATGAAATTAAATTAAAAAATTTGTACCTTAAATTAAATTGTACCAATTTTGACCTAACATATCTACCTTATGGTCAAAATAACCTTAGAGATGTTTATAGATTAATTTATTTTATAAAATTATTATTATATAAAAAAAAATCCACTTATTGTAAAAATATATATAAAAATAAATATCCATCTATCACTTATTATTTAATTTATTGATTAAGATAAATTATTATTTTATACCATTATATTAGATGAACAATGAAAATAACAAATAAAGACTTGTTTGATTTGATTTTGTTTTTGTTTTTAAAAACAGTTTATAGATCAATTTTGAAAAACTGTTTTAATAAGTTGAAAAAAAAACTTCGTTTGAAAGTTTTGTTTTAAACTATTTTAAGCATACTATGACAAGTAGTGATAAAAGTTAGAAAATTATTTTGATAAGTGTATAATAATAAAAGTGAGTAATTCAATGTAATTATTGGGTAAAGCAAAACCTGTTTTATAAATTCAATGTAACTCATCAGTGAAAACAAAAACTATAATAAAAAATACATTTTATAAATTTTAGTTTTTAAAAATTAAAAAACAAAACCTGTTTTTAAAATTTGTTTTAACAAAAGAGTTTTTTGTTTTTAAAAATTAAAAACTTTGAAAACTTTTTTTTTAAAAACAACAAAGAAAAAAGTATTAGAGAATGAATGAATTTCTTATCTAATAATTTATTTATTAAATTATTTATATAAAATAAAAACTATTTTTTTAATATAATTTAATTTTTAAAATATATTTTTTATTTTTAATTCTTATTTAAAATTTTTAATTATTTTTAATTAAATGTTTTTATACAAATATATTTTTAATCATATCAAAATTAATTAATTAATTAGTTCATTAACTTATATAAAATAAAAAATTATAATTTAAAGGTTTGAACTAATTTTTTTAATTGGCTGGACCAATTATTTTGCTACTATTATTGATAAGGTTACTATTATAAATTCCATGCTCTTAAAATTAAGTATATTATTTATTTTATACCATTAAATTGCGTAATCTAAACCTAATTTCATTTTATAAGAGCTAAAATTAAAAATTAATCCTATATTATTCAAAAGAAAAAAGAGTTCAGAGTTTGATGAAAGAAAAACCTTGGTGAAGATGACAACAATGGACTCTATGAGAAGCTTGGCCAAGAACAAATCATCTGCGAGCAACCTTTCCCTGAACCCTCGAAACTTGAGCAACCACCGCATCACAACCGACTCTTCCATCTGGAAAAACCTCCGCATTATCGAACCCGGCACCCTCCCCGCCGTAACGGCTGCCGCTAAATCTTCCGGCAAACTTTCCAACCCCCGCCCACCCTCCGCCAGCGCCACCAGCGCCTCTTCCCTATTGCGGCCCCTTTCCTCCTCTTCATCACCTCCGCTACTGTCCCCATTACCGTTTCCACCGCCAACGCCTCCGCCGCTCCCCGCTGAGCTGCCACAGTCCACGCGTGAGGAGATGGCGGTGACTGTGGTGTGGAGGAAACGGATGGACCTGAAAGTGCAAAGTCTGAGTTTGGAAGGTAAGATGAGAGTTCGATGTGGTGGTTGAGAGGAGTGGTTGGAGTGTGAGAAGAAACGCGTGGTGAGATTGGAGAAGGAAGCTGTAGCCATTTGTGTTTGTGTCTGTGAGAGGGACAGTGGTCACGTTTAAAAGGTGGAGGGAAGAGAGAAAAGAGAGATGATAAGGTAAGCTTCTACTTTTTCCTTCATTGTCTCAGAAACTTTTCAGATATATTATTTTTAATAAATATGATTTTAATACTGTAAAATTATTATTTTTTATTTTAATAAAAAAAATCCCTCAATAAAATTTAAAATTTTTATTTTTAGTTGTTTTTCTTTTCTATAAAATTCATGTTTAAAGTATTATTGTAAAATTTGAAGTCTCAACCAAATCGATCCTCTAAATTTACCTATCATATTTAACATGAGAAATTCGTATCAAATAAATTTTACTTTTAGTTGCTCTAAAATATGTGTAATTTATTACAATTTAAAAAAAATTATTTGATTTTTATCTTTTAAAATTTTAAATCACTCTTTTCAATTTTTAATAAAATTTTAAAATGAATAAATAATATTTATTCTAATATATAAATATTTAAATGATGTTATAAAACATATAAAATTAATGATAATATTTTTAATTTTAGACGAATAAAATCAATTAAAAAATTTAATGGGAATAATAATTCTTTGATTATTTTTGCTAATATTTATATAAAAAATTGTATAATATCAAAATAGGACGTGAGAGACTAAAAAATCTGAAAAATAAGTCAGGTAAAATGAATTTAGATGTTTGTAAATTTATTAATGGATTAATTTTATAAAATAATAATTATTTTTAAACTAAAATAAAATAATATTATGTTATTAAAAATATATGTATAATAAATTAATTTAATAATATATTTTATATTATATATATATATATATATATATATATATATATAATTTAGAAAGAATAATAAACCCTAAATTTCATTTATTTTTGTCATGTTCTTCGTCTTTCTTGGTGACTTATATTCATCTTTTCATCTATAATATATCTCCATGTATATTCTTTACAAGTATTTTAATTTTTTTTTATTAAATTTAAACTCTGTTTTATTTATTACTGCAACACTTGTATTTTAAATTTTAGAAACTCCATTTCATACTTTACTCTTCTAGTTGTTAACTCATCTATTAGCAATTAGTCATAGTTCTGATGTAGGTGGAGTGTCTAAGAAAATAGAAACCATTAATTTTTGAAGTGTGGAATTATTGTAAAGAAGTTGATCTAGGGGTAGAGAAATGTAAAAGTAAGTGATGTTTAAAATTGTATAATTTCATAGACCAATGATTTAAAACGAAATATTCTTAAATGTAGTGTATTTTTAAAGTATATGAGAGTAACCTTGAATAATAAGATTACCTTAATGAAACAATGATAATTTGACTCTAAAATTTATCTATATGCATTTGTTAAATGGATGATCTTCCATTTAACTATGTTGAGTATGAGAGAGTTTGGGAGATAAATAAAATTTTGAATCCTAATTTTAAATCAATTACTAGAAATACTTCAATTACTTATGTTTATAACTTATATTTAACAAAAAAATAAAATTAAACAGGTGTTATATAATATTTTTGATAAAATATACACTTATAACTTCTCAACATGACTATACCAACTATCAAAATTGGAGCATTTTGTAACATTTTAACCATCTCAATTAAAATAATAGTTTCAAGATCTTCATCTTCGTCATCTAGCATTGATGATCGCATCTTAAACAAGTATAAAATAGTTTACTTATAAAAGATGTATAAGCACTTATTCGTATTGGTTGTATGATTATAATCAAGTTAGACCTTCTAGAATACTCAAATTAGTATTCAATATTTTATAGTCTTTATATTATGCAAAGTTTAATTATTTAATATTATTTGTTTCCTTTTTAGTATCAATTATAAATAAAAAAGAATTTGATATTTTATGATTTTATATAATAAGTTTATATAAGATAAATTATTGTACAAAAATATTTTATAATTTTATTTTATCTAAATAGATTATAGTTAATTTTGAATAAACAAATGAATGACGTATTATTTTTTTCAAACAATTAAAATAAAATATATTTTTACTTTTAATTAAGAAAAAATAGTCTATTAGTTCGTTGACCTAACATAGGACGACTAGTTAAAATCATTAGTCAAAGTTTGTGTTAATGTGTTTGTAATAAGTCCTAGTTTCTATAACCAATTTCCTTCATTTCGGGTTGTTACCATGTAGTGTGGATTGTTACCATGCAATATGGATTGTTACCATGCAAGTGGGTTACAATTTTACTATGGATTGTTTTGTACTTCATGTAGGCTATATAAGTCATTGTCATTCCATTAAATAAACGCACTTTTCCTTAAGTATTTCTTACGTTATATTTCAACTTTTAATAATTGGTATCAAGGCTTTGAGAAGGGCCTGATATGGTATGAGGAGAGGAGCGAAACACTGAATAGCGTGAGCAACCGTGCATGCGCATGTAAGGGAAGAGCAAGTGTGAAGAGAAAAATTTGTGCAGCAAGTGTTAGGAAAGAAACCTATGCGATTACAACGCATGAGTGAGTATGAGGAAAAGAAAATATCCCAAAGGTTAAATATGTCTATGTTTGAAAAATTTATTCAACCCACCATTCAAAAGTTTGATGGTCACTATGAGTTTTGGTCAATGACTATAGAGAACTTCCTGCAAAACAAAGAAATGTGGCATCTTATAGAAGAAGGTATACCAACTATTGCAACTGGAACAACTTCAACTGAGGCATAACGAAAGAGTATTGAAGAGACCAAGCTCAAATACTTGAAAGTAAAGAATTTCCTGTTTCAAGCCATTGATAGAGAAATTCTTGAAACTATTCTTGACAAGAGCACTTCAAAGACAATATGGAGCTCCATGCAAAGGAAGTATCAGGGGTCCACAAGGGTGAAACAAACACAACTTCAGGCACTAAGATGAGAGTTTGAGTTACTCGATATGTGATACGTGAAAAAGTAGGTAAAGAAATATCCATTTTCGAGATAGGACAGGTCTCCAGAGAATAACAGAATTCGAATGATTGCATCACCACTTTTTTCCTCCTCCTCATTTCCATCATAATCAGTCTTAAATATTCTGAGTTAAGTGGGCCCAAAACAAATTAAATGGAAATAACTATTAAAATAAATAAATCTATTTAGTAACAAACTCGATCATCCAATTTGGGGGTTTCCTGATCCTTTTAGGCTTGTTTGCTCCTTCAACAGCACTTGGCCCAATAATTTCTTCTTCGATTGGTGGTTCAGTATCAATACTCGGCTCGTCAAGAAGGACCTTGTCCTCAAGGTCCAGATCAGGATAAGTCGCCTTGAGTGGTTGTAAAGACTCCCAAGTGGCTTCACTTTCAGATTGTGTTGTCCACTGAACTAGGACTTGTCGTAGAGGAGAACCATTAGAGGTGACGGTGTGAAATCCGAGAAGTTTGGCTGGGGTGAGCAGCGGATGAGGACCTAGTGTCGAAGGAGGTAGAGGACGCTGCTCGAAAGGGGGATCTCCATGACAGCGTTTGAGGACGCAGACGTGGAAGACATGGTGGATCCTCGAGTCTGGAGGGAGTTGAAGCTCATAAGCGACCTAACCGAGTCGGCGGAGCACCCTGAAAGGCCCAAAGAAACGGCGAGCAAGCTTCTGAGAGGATCGCCGTTGAATCGAAACTTGGCGGTATGGTGTGAGTTTGAGGTAAACCCAATCCCCTTCGGAGAAAACAGTGTCTTGTCGGTGAGCATCGACTTGCTGCTTCATCCAGTGTTGTGCACGAGCAAGATTGTCCTTCAACTGACGCAAAAGCTTTTGTCTGTGAAACAAGTGTTCTTCGATAGAAGCAATTACAGTGGAGCCTGGAAGGAGATCTAACACCGGAGGTGGAGGGCGGCCATAGAGAGCTTGAAAAGGCGACATCTAAATCGAAGAATGGAAGCTTGTATTATACCAAAATTCGGCTAAATGAAGAACTTTTGACCACAGATGGGACTCTTCCGCCACAAAACAATGAAAATAAGTCTCCAGACAACGATTAAGGACTTCGGATTGACCATCGGTTTGAGGATGGTAAGCGGTGCTGAACGCTAGCTGAGTGCCCAAGAGCCGAAATGTCTCCTTCCAAAACTTGCTAACGCACACGCTGTCTTTGTCTGATATTATTGTTTTCGGAGTACCATGAAGCTTGCATATTTCAGAGACAAACTTTGCGGCCAACAGTGAGGCAGTATAGTGGGTGGGTAAGGGCAAGAAATGGGCGAACTTAGTGAACCGATCAATGATCACCCATATAGTAGTGAAACCATTAGAGCTGGGCAAGTGAGTGATGAAGTCCATAGTAATGTCCTCCCACACCTGAGTAGGTGTAGGGAGTGGTTGGAGTAAGCCTGAGAGCTTAGCAGTAGAGTACTTTGATTGTTGGCAAGTGTGACAGTTTCTGACATAGGTCTTGGCATCTTTGTATAGACCAGCCCAGTGGAAGGTGGAAGTCAAGCGTGCAACTGTGGCCTTAACGGCGGAGTGGCCAGCCACCGGAGTGTCATGAAACTCGGAAAGAAGTAGGTGCTACAGATTGGACTCACGAGGGACATGAATGCGGGAATCAAAGTATAACAACCCATTCAAGTATGTGAACTTGGCTCTGAACTTGTCATCATTGTGCCACCTTTCCACCAATTTTTGGCCCTGTGTATCGTGTAAGTAAAACTGTCTTAACTGAGACAGCAAGTTAGGAGTAGCAGTAGAAATGGCGGAGAGGAAAATGGATTCAGAGGCTGAGTGTGTGCGTCGAGACAGAGCATCGGCAACACGATTGTCCACACCAGGTTTGTAGAATATTTCATAATCGAAGCCAAGTAGTTTAGTGGGCCATTTCTGTTGTTCGAAAGTTTGAATGGACTGTGTCAACAAATTTTTCAAGCTTTTCTGGTTTGTATAAATTCGAAATTTCCTTCCCAGTAAATAATGACGCCACTTTTTAACAGATTCAGTGATGGCGAACATTTCGCGAGCATATGCGGAGGCTAACTGCATCCGAGGGCA